GCTTTTCAAATTTTCAATCAACTCGAGTTTCGTCTTATGACTTTTGCCGGCAAAGCTTAAATGCTTAATCAAATGCAAAATAAGATCTAACGCTTTGCAAAACTCCTTCCTTTCCTCAATCAATAGCACTACAATTGTTTATTTTTAGTATTTTTAGTAACCTATATCCCTCAAATGAATCTTTACAATTTTTGAGGTAAATAGCCGTCTCTCAATCTTTAGAAAATCCACTGAAAAAAAAAACGGCGAAATGGATTAGAAAATTTCGAAGAAAAATGGGGAAAAAGAAAAGGTTATTTGTTGAATTCACACGTGTCATTTTTGTGTCTGTCCTCAAAATGAATTGAGGACAAATTGTTCGAGAGTGGGTGAGCGAGGGATTTCTGTGAAAAGGGAAACGGGGCAACAGAGGACTCCAATCTCTTATATCATATTTTTGAGACAATTGCATTCAGCTCAATCAACTCGAGTTTCTTCCTATGACTTTTGCCGGCAAAGGTTAGATGCTTAATCAAATGCTAATTATGATCTAGCGCTTTGCAAAACTGTTGCAAGGATATTGAAAAACTGTAACTGTAACTGTAACTGTAGCTGTAGCTGTAACTGTAACTCTAACTGTAACTGTAGCTGTAACTGTAACTATAGCTGTAACTGGAACTGTAGCTGTAAACTCAATCTTTATCTAGCTACGTTATTCCGCTAAAATCGACAATATTTTAACATTTTTTGACATCATCAACATCGAAATTCAATATTCAATCAAAATCTTCTTAATACTTTTGCTTTTGAAAACTTTCAACAAAAAAAAACAAAATTTTCTCTTAAGAAACCCTTCTACGCACTTTGATCACTTCAAGAGATGAAAAGCAAAGAAAAAAAGTTTCATTTTCATTTCACGCGTGCATTTTTCCAATTTTCCTCTTTCTCCAGAAATGCCGACTCTTTTTTAATAAATAAATCGAGTTTTGAACTATCGGAAAAGGTTTTTTTCTAGAGAAAAGCTTGAGAAATCATTCGAAACAGAACAAATTGCAGCATATTAATGTCCAAATTTGTGCTATTCTTTGCCTTTACTATTTAGTACTTGTATTTGTAGTTGTTTTTGACTAAAACCATAGGAGTGTCGAACATAACAGTATAACAGTCGACTCTCTCTATAACGGAACTCTATATAGCGGAAAACTCTATATAACGGAATCGAATTTTGATCCCGTTCGACGCTAAGCTATCTATAACGGCACTCTATATAACGGAAACATTTTTTGGTCGCTTCCATTCCGTCGGCTCTTCACAACTATATTTAATTTTTTATATTATATTCTTTATTAAATACAGTCGACTCTCTATATAACGGAACTCTATATAGCAAAAAAACTCTATATAACGGAATCGAATTTTGATCCGACGCTAAGCTATCTATAACGGTACTCTATCTAACGGAATGCTCTATAAAATGAAACAAATTGTTTGGTCTCTTCCATTCCGTTATCGAGAGAGTTTACTGTACTTTCTTCTCATGCAAACGCACTTGCACTCAGTTCTTCCAGTTCTTCCAGTTTTTTGTGTTGTTGATTTTTTTTGAGAAACATTGCAGAAACTATTCTTGCCAGGTTTAGATAATTTTTTGTTGTCACTGGCAGCTTGTTTACGAAGGGGCATAAAAAAAGAAATGATATTGTAGGCGTTCCTTTTACCATTTTGGAGTTAATTATTTAAATTCTTTAGTAAAAACGAGTAAATCTTTAGCAATTATTTAAATTCTTTAGTAAAAACGATAAGAATTCGCTCAATTTCGCAAAAAAACATTTGATTTCTTCTAAAGAGACTGAAAGGGCCAAAAAGAAGGGCCAAAAAAAGGCCCAAAAAGAAGGGCCAAATTTAGAAACTCTCGTGACGAAAATACCAAGAAATGATATAAATTTTGGCTTGAAAATTGAATTAATGTTGAGTAAACATGTGAACGAAAAAAAAAAGAGAAAAAAAAACGATGAAAAAGAGATCTTTCTTTTTTGTGGAGTGATGGGGCTAATCTTTGCGGGAATTTTCAATATTTGCCCATCATTCGAAAGAAATTTTTGCGTTCTAGTTACGAAAGGACGAAAAGCATTTCTCGTTAGAAATTCGACTTCCTTGCCTAACTTTTACAGAAAATTTTTGATTTGATATTCTTGTGTAAATTTCGGATGACCTAAAGCCATCAAAAAATGGCTAAAATATTAAATTTTGATTCGTTTTCGTGTTAGAGTTTTCAAAACTTACAACTCTTTCTTTAGTGAGGGGAGATTTTAAGTAACGACCGTTTAATAGGAATTTTATGATCATTTGACTGATCTCTGCCGATTTAACTCCGATTTTTCGTTAATTTTTGTCATTCAAGCTTGCCATTTTGAATCTATTTTTCACTTTCTTTTTACTAAAACTTATTGCTCATCGTCAGCTCTGTCAGCTCATTGTTAGCTCTATCAGCTCATTGTCAGCTCTGTAAGCTCATTGTCAGCTCTATCAGCTCATTGTCAGCTCTGTCATCTCATTGTCAGCTCTGTCATCTCATTTTCAGCTCCCATTTCTATAATATTTACTACGATATGTCTAGCGCTGAACAAAATTGTTCAAGAGAAACTTTTCCGAACCCAGCCTGCCTTCTGGCCTGCTTTGCCTGATTTGTCTACCATGGCTTTGACTCACAAAAAGTTCCTAGACAAGCCAGAAGTCAGACCTGGTTACTGAACTGTCTCTGGGGTTTATCTGATCCGCCACATCCCTGGCTTTCTGATATACAAACTTATTATCTAGCTTATTATATTCTGTGAGTATCAATCTGACATCATTGTCTCCACTATTAGCAACAAAATCTGTTTTTTGGTCTTTTTTCTGATGTTGTGAGCAAGACGAGATGAGTGTGGCAAAATAAGATTTCGTGTATCCGTCATCGAGGATGGAGAGAGGATGGGGTTGACTAAAAATGGCGGTGGATGGATTCGGGGTTTATTTTTGGGGCCCGAATTAGGTGTTTGGAGGAGAAAACGGGGCAGGCTGGGGAGATGGGGCTGGGGAGATGGGGCTGAAGGGATGTGTCTGTGTGTGGATTCTTCAGTCGAAGGGGAAGGGAAAGCTTTAGAGTCGCATACACAGATGGAAGGGAATGGGGGGGGGGGTTTGGGTTTGGGTCGGAATTCACTTATCCTCACCTTTTCTTCAAAATGGTCGAAAAGAAGAAGGTGGCTTGTGGTTTGTGGAAAGGGAAGAGCAGTCAATTCTCCGCACCTCTCCAAACACATACTCACCTTTTTTTGAGGAAAGACTGCAAAAATGATTTCCTTTCCGAGAAATGGTTGCGAGTTTTTTGTTGAAATGTAATTTTGACGATATCCTGCTTCGGACGTAGATAGAAATGCTATGGAATGTCTTTACTTGACGATTTTTTGTTTTCCTAAGAACTTAGCTTCAGATTACTTCAGGTTACTTCAGATTACTGTCTTACTGTCTAATTAATGCGCTTTCTGAGTATCTTTTAGCCAAACAGAGCTACGGATTACGGTAGCATTCCCAAGTCAGCGTTAGGATACAAAAGAAAACAAAGAAATGAGTTGTTCAATTTTAGAGCACAACCACTCTGGGTAGTTCTTCAGTTCTAACCAAATTCTTGAAGCTTTCCCCTTAAAACTAGATGTAGCGCTAATCAATCCGACTTTTTCTCCTACAAACCTGCTCAAGATTCTTTGAAATTAAGGCACAATCTTATCATTTCAAAAACCAATCCCCAAATAACATCACGCATCACTTTCTCAGCCTTATTTTATTTCGATGCCATCTGGTCGTTTCCTTACTTTTTCTTGTCTCAATTTTTTTTGTCTCTTGTCGTCTTTGTCCACTCTAAAGCCACAACTCTAAACATTTTATACTTTGTTTATTTTTTTACTACAATTATCAGTTTACTACAATTATCAGTTTCAGTTTTTGCTTCCCATTTCTCTGATATGATTGTGATGTGAAAGAAAAGTTGAAGAAAAAAAAATGAACGCAACGAGTAGCGAGTATGTGGAAGAAATAAAAGAAAATGGGAATAATTCGGATTGCTTTTATGATCCGCCATTTGTCACCGAGAGGTTTGTTGAGAAAATAATCATTCAATCATTCAAATCGATTCTCCTGGTCAAGCCAGATGCTTTATTTGGCCTTTGCTGGTTTATCTTTAGTTTAAAATTGGTATAACTGGAACTGATAAAACCAAGACAGGCTAAGGTTCAGGTCAAGGTCAGCTCTAGCTTATCTTGGATCTTGGTATAACTGGAACCGGTAAAACCAAGACAGGCTAGGGTTCAGGTCAAGGTCACCTCTGGCGTAGAGCTTGATTTATCAAAACTTAGCATTTCGCAATCAAGTAATCAAGTTGCAAAAATTAATCACTTCAAAAGTGATGAATTTTGAGTTATAGTGGAACTTATGCGCCAATGTTGGCTCAAAAATTGTCGAATGACTGGAAGAATTTCCCGAACTTCAAGGGGAAACTTTTCAATTCCAAGTACGGTACTTTATCAGGGTTTCTTTGTCAGCAATGGTTGCCTCAATTCACAGCTCGAGTTCAACTCATTGATCCAATACAGTTACAATCTTTGAGCCAACATTGGCCTATGACCAATGGCCAAAAATGTAAACGAGTTTGATGGCCTGAAAAGTTTTATAGGCTTTAAAAGGGTTGAAGGCTTGAAGGGAAAGACTTGAAAAGGCTTGAAAAGTTTTATAAAGGATTTTATAAAACGTTTTTTTTTGTTTCATTTAGCATATCTTATCTAAAACCAGACTGAGTAAATAAAATTTGTTTTTAAACAAAAAAAATTCAAAACCTTCTATGAGTAAACAGATATTCGCTGATCAAAGATCTTAAGCAAATCTTCCTTTCAAAAAAAAGATCTCAATTCAGATTTTGGTTGGTGGGTGTTGCGGGCACAACAGTGGCAATCATTAGCTTCATCGAGAACGCTTTTCTTTTCTATGTGTTGATGAAGAGGTTAGTTGAAAAGAAAACTAAAGAAAGAAAAGAAAGAAAAGAAAACTAAAGAAAGAAAATAAAGAAAAGAAAACTAAAGAAAGAAAAGAAAGAAAAGAAAACTAAAGAAAGAAAAGAAAGAAAAGAAAACTAAAGAAAGAAAAGAAAGAAAAGAAAACTAAAGAAAAAAGAGACAAAGAACTACTTACTTACTGTGAACTACTTACTATTAGGTTGTCCGGAAATAAATGAGCGTTTTTAACTTGAATATTTAAAGTACCATAACTTGATCCAAACAAAACTTTATTAATCGAAATAAGAACTATTACAATTAACACATTTTTGCCAACGAGAAACAAGTTTATTTATGCCGGTAGCATAGATGTCCGGGCTTCTGGTGGCGATAAAGTCGGCGAAGGCGTTTTTGGCATCGTCTTGAGTTTTGAAGCATTTCTCCCGGAGAAAGTTGTCGAGGTGCTTGAAAAACTGGTAGTCGGTAGACGAAAGGTCCGGCGAATATGGCGAGTGAGGAAAAGTTTCGTAGCTCAGTTCGTTCAGCTTTTGCAGGGTCGGTAGTGCGACGTGCGGGCGAGCGTTGTCGTGGAGAAGAATTGGATCTTTTCTGTTGACCAATGCCGGGCCCATTCGCCGCAATTTCTGGTCCATTTCGTCGATTTGTTGGCAGTACTTCTTCGTCGTAATCGCTTCGCCCGGATTCAGAAAGCTGTGGCGGATGAGACCGACTGCGGACCACCAAACAGTTACCATAACCTTCTTTTGGTGCAAATTTCGCTTTGGAAAGTGTTGTGGAGCCTCTCCGGCGTCCAACCACTGAGCGGAACGTCACCGGTTGTCGTAGAGGATCCACTTTCATCGCACGTTACGATCCGGTCGAGAAATGAGTCGTTTTTGTTGCGCTGGAGAAGAGCAGACGACACCTAAAAACGACGATTTTTTTGATTTTCGTTCAATTCGTGCGGCACCCATTTATCGAGCTTTTTTTGACTTTCTAATCCGTTACAAGTGGTCAGAAATGGTCGTCTTGCCCACGCCAAGCCCCTCCGCAAGCTTTCGAATAGTCGTACGTGGATTTGCTTCCACCAGGGTCTTCATTTCGTCGTCATCGAGTTCAACAGGACGGCCACGGCCTTCCTTGTCTTCGAGATCAAAATCATCACCTCGGAATTTTCGGAACCAAGTTCGCACTGTTGACTCGCCGACACTGCCTTGGCCCCAAACTTCGTTAATGTTACGAGCCGCTTCAGCTGCATTGCGACCGAGTTTGAACTCATAAAAGAAAATCTTGCAAAAGTTAGTTTCGGACATCTAAGACGGCGAAGCTTAAAATTCGCAAAAAATTTTATTTTCAACAAAATTTAAAGGCATGGTTAAAGAGAGCGCGAACTCAGCTTCCTAGTGGTATATAACATTACAAGGTACAGAGCATACTTTATTGAGAAAAATGTACCCAAATAATAAACAATACAAAACGCTCATTTATTTCCGGACAACCTAATAATAGGTGAGCAAATGTAAAAACGTTAAAAAAAAGCAACTTTTAATAAAGGTATACCTCCTATATTCACAAATAGTTTTGATGAGAAAACTCTTTAGGCGTTCCCATCGCGCCTCTCAAAATCTGTACCTCGGTTTGCTCGCCTTTTTCGATATGTTTATGGCTGGGTAGGGGAAATCGTCTAAAAAACTACAGTAATCAATATCTTATCATCATCATTTTTTCAGTGCATACATTCCGTTGATGAGTTTGAATCTTTTCGCTGACTATTTCCGATCGTTACCTTTGTTGACAGCTTGGTGAGTGGAGATTTAGGTTTATCAATTTCAAGTCAATTTCGATTCAATTCACATTTCTCCATATTTCACATTTCACATTCAGATTTCTCTATGATTCGCTATGGTTCATTCTCTATGGTTTAATATTGATTGTAGACAAGATTTCTTTTTTGTTACACTAGAATTTTTAGAAGAAAAATGTTAGAGAAAAAAGTGATTTGCATTTGCGGAAGCTCACAGGAATGGATGGCTTAAAATAGGGTTTCTCAAAAGAGAAAAGGGAACTCTATTCAAAAGAAAAAGCTTAAAGCTGACAAAATTTACTTAAACAATATGAATAACGCGACCTTAATCAAACTTTAATTGTCTTTAATCGTCCATTGATGAGTTTGAATCTTTTCGCTGACTATTTCCGATCGTTACCTTTGTTGACAGCTTGGTGAGTGGAGATTTAGGTTTATCAATTTCAAGTCAATTTCAATTCAATTCACTCAAGATTCTCTATAGTTTAATATTGATTGTAAACAAGATTTCTTTTTTTGTTACACTAGAATTTTCAAGAAGAAAAATGTTAGAGCAAAAAGTGATTTGCATTTGCGGAAGCTCACGGGAATGGATGGCTTAAAATAGGGTTTCTCAAAAGAGAAAAGGGGAACTCTATTCAAAAGAAAAAGCTTAAAGCTGACAAAATTTACTTAAACAATATGAATAACGCGACCTTAATCAAACTTTAATTTTCTTTAATTGTCCAGGTATTACTACATGATCCCATTGATCACCGTCTCACACATGGCCATGACATCATCATCATTTTTGATTGTCGCCGCCACTTTCGAGCGTTTCGCCATCACCGTTACCCCGCAGTACACGAAATTCGTGAGTAGACATCGGTGAGTTAGTAATAATATAGTATAATATAGTATAATATAGTATAATATAATATAATATAATATAATATAATATAATATAATATAATATAATATCTACTATATACACTGTTGGACAATGAAATATGATATTTGAAAAAAGATCGTCACTTTCGCGCGTCTGTAACTCCCTTGTCTTTACCGTATTTCTAAATATTAATATTACCATTGTGTAGCCCTTGAAAAGAGCTTTCAGAAAATGTAGAACACTAATAGTTTAAACTCAAAGACAAGGGAGTTAAAGACGCGCGAAAGTGACGATCGTTTTTCAAATATCATATTTCATTGTCCAGTACTGTATAAAGCAGCAAAGACGTCTGTACGCAGCCATTGGCAAAAAATGGGGCTTAGATTGCGTGAAAAACGTGGCCCTCGCCAACGGAAACGTTAATGAAATGTTTTCCGCTGATAATATAATATAATCATCATAGATCTTTAAAATTTCAAATTCTTTTGAAGAAACCCTAATCATTTTCAGAGTGGCAATAGCGGTGATTGCGATTCTACTCGGTTTCCTTACAAAGCTCACGATGGCGCTCGAAATCGAGGTAAAACTAAAGTTGTTTTTTTTTTCGTTTAAAGATATCAGAAAATGTGACTAAAGTATTTCTTATTATGGATAATTCAGAAATGAGTGAGTCTATGAAAAAGATCTTTAGTTTTATAGGATAAATATAAAAAAGATTTCTTCATACGAATAATATGCTACAAACAATACACAAGTACAATCCTTAAATGGGAAGAAATGTAGGGAAGAAAAAAGAATGTAGGGAAGAACGTAGGGAAGAATGAAGAATGTAGGGAAGAACGTGGGGAAGAATGAAGAATGTAGGGAAGAACGTGGGGAAGAATGAAGAATGTAGGGAAGAACGTGGGGAAGAATGAAGAATGTAGGGAAGAACGTGGGGAAGAATGAAGAATGTAGGGAAGAACGTGGGGAAGAATGAAGAATGTAGCGAAGAACGTAGGGAAGAATGAAGAATGTAGGGAAGAACGTGGGGAAGAATGAAGAATGTAGGGAAGAACGTGGGGAAGAAAAAAGAAAACAATATTGAAAAAAAAGGGGAAAAAAGATGAAGACCCAGGGATTGAACCCTTGAGCTTCGTTCTTTCTTCTTCATTCTTTTTTCCCTTTTTTTCAATATTGCTTTTTCTTCTGAAAAACTGATTTGCATTTGAAAAACTGAAGCTCACAGGAATGACCCAGCCGGTGGGATTGAACCCTTGAGCTTCCGGCTGGGTCTGATGATTCCTTTTTCCCTTCTTTTTCTTCCCTAGATTTATTTAATAAATAGATTTATTCACATGAATAATATGATACACACAATGCACAAGTACAATCCTTAAATGTAGGTAAGAAAAAAAAAGAATCATCAGACCGAGCCGGAAGCTCAAGGGTTCAATTCGGCCGGCTGGGTCTTCATTCTTTTTTCCCTTTTTTTTCAATATAGCTTTTTCTTCCCTACATTTAAGGATTGTACTTGTGTCTTGTTTGTATCATATTATTCGAGTGAATAAATCTATTAGTACAGGGACAAGGATCTTAGCCAGTAATAGCCAGTTTTAGTACTAGGGTCTTAGCCAGTCGGCCATGGGGACTAAGATCGGCCAAGAGGTTAACAAGCTATAAACCTTAAGAAGAAAAACTGCTGAAAACTTCCAAAGTAGTATTTGGTTAACTCTTTTACATTAAAACTGAACAAATCGAATCCAGAATCAAAAAAAATGATTGGATTTGCAAATCCAGAATCCAAATCCAATCTTTCAGTGGACATTTGACAAGCAATGTGAAGGTTAACAAGCTATAAACCTCAAGTAAAAACTGCTGAAGACTTCCAAAGTAGTATTTGATTAACTTTTTTACATTAAAACTGAACAAAATGGAATCCAGAATCAAAAAAAATGATTGGATTTGCAAATTCAGAATCCAAATCCAGAATCCAAATCCAGAATCCAAATCCAATCTTTCAGTGGACATTTGATAAGCAATGCGAAGGTTTCATGACTCAATGGGTGATCGATGTCTCAGAATTCGCAAGGAATCAAGTAAAAGATAAATCTTGAAAAGCTCTAACAAGTTATTTGTAAAACATTGATTAAACTTGAATAGATAAATCAAAGATCATTGAATTGATCATTGAATTGAACAATTTGATTAGTTTTAAACGTTTTTTCCCATTTCTAGACATACGCCACTTATTGGAAAGTTCTTTTTCGCAACATTGTCACAATTTTGTTGCCATTTTTTCTCCTTCTCGTCCTCAACATCGGGTAATTTATTGAAATAACAAAAAAAAACACTTATACTTTTAAAAATTAATTCAGAAATTCTAATTTTAGAATCATTTTTGCCTATCGTCGAACCGATTTTCATTACCTCAACGTGCAGAAATTGAGCGAAGCAAAACGGAAAGTGAGTGAGGGGAAAGGAAATTCTACAAATATTCCATTAAATATTGATTCTATTGGGTTGGTGAAATGAAAACTGCGGGGCTTTGAACTAAAATTTATTCAATATAAAACCATGAATTCGTTCCAAATCATTTCCATTATTATTGACGACTTCTGCCCATTTTACAGGCAGTTTGCGGATTCCTCTTTCGCAGTAGGATTTTGGTTTGTGTGTGAGACAAGTGTGAGACTCAAAAATGGAGGACTGGAGATGTCCCAGTTTGAGCACTTTCTTCAAAAGAAACCCATTTTGGTGTCAATAGAAAAGTTGTAGAGAATCAAAAATTAGGCTTATAGCCAAATTTCCAAAAAGATACACTTGGTAGTTTCGCTTAAAATGCAAGTTTTGTGAAAATTCGTAAATTTCGCATTTCTTGAAAACCAGTTTTTGAATCGTTCTGAAAATTTGGATATAAGCTTGATTTTTGATTCTCTACAACTTTTCCATTGACACCAATAGGGGTTTCTTTTGAAGAAAGTGCTCAAACTGTCACATATGACAATAGCCGGCAGTTTTCAATTTACCAACCCAATACAATAGTGGATAAAGAGTGACAAAACAAACTAGTTGGCTAAAAACTAGATTACATTTCTTGTAAAATTGATATTGACAGCAATTCATGCCGTTTAAATGAACAAAAACTCTCAAGGCGAAGTTGAAAGTATTTTTTTAAATGCTATAACCAAGTAACTTTCCAATTGATAGCTTTCTATTTTTATTGTATATTAGCGAAAAACTATTATATAAAACTAAAAACTAAAAACTCGTAGAGCTCTAGTCCAACAAAATTGTCGAAATAAACAAAAATAAATTCAGCAACGAGTCCGTGCCGCAACGCGTACCCTTTTGCTCGTCGTCTTCACTTATCTTTTATCAAATTTTCTGAATGTGGTTAGTGAAAATTTTTTTTTGCTTTAATCAATTAACTTTTTGATTGATAGCTTTCTATTCTTATTGTATAGCTAAAAGCTTTAGCTAAAAACTATTAGCTAAAAACTATTAACTAAAAACTATTAGCTAAAAACTATTAACTAAAAACTATTAACTAAAAACTATTAACTAAAAACTATTAACTAAAAACTATTAACTAAAAACTATTAACTAAAAACTATTACATAGATACTTTATTCAGGACCTGAGATAAAGTGCGCTGGATTTAAGATTAAAACACATGAATTCATACACATAACACGAAAAGAGCCGATAAAAAGAAACACGGTATAATATCTGTAAAATGTGGGTAGCACAGATAACGTCAAGGATCCACTAGAGCTTCAAGATCAAGATCATCTACAGATAATTTAAAGGTTTCGAGACTATTGGACTCTCTCAAAACTCTGGGGAGTCGATTCCAAATTCTGGCAGTTCTTATTGGAAATTGTTATTGTTCTTATTAGCTAAAAACTAAAAGCTTGTAGAGCTCTAAAATAAAACTTTTTGTTAATGTCTAACTTAATTACTAGAAAAAAAAAGTTGATCTGATCTGATCTGAAACATCTAAAATCTAAAAGAATAATAAAAAAAATCAATCTTTTAAACAAATTAGTTTTTCAGATTGTAACAATATGGGAATATTTTGATATTCAACAACTTCAAGAGGAATTTCCCGTTTTCTATTTGTTCGCTGTAGATGTGGTGGGTTTGAAATATTCAATAACAATAAATAGAAGCAGATTTCAAGTCCAATTCATCGTCAATAAAGTCAAGCTCACGATAGCTCACGATAGCTTTTTCCACGTTTTCGAATAATGCACTTGTTAAGTATTTTTCTAATGTCTAACTTGAAAATGAAAGATTTGTCGTAGAGGGGAAAACAGCCAAACTTACAACTGCAATTGAATTGCAAGTATTACTAAAAACCTTCAGAAGGGAAAACAGCCAAACTTACAATTTCAATTGAATTGCAAGTATTACTAAAAACCTTCAGAAGGGAAAACAGCCTAACTTACAACTGCAATTGAATTGCAAGTATTACTAAAAACCTTCAGAAGGGAAAACAGCCAAACTTACAATTTCAATTGAATTGCAAGTATTACTAAAAACCTTCAGAAGGGAAAACAGCCTAACTTACAATTTCAATTGAATTGCAAGTATTACTAAAAACCTAAAACAAACAAACAAACTCAACTCCAGGTTTCTTTATTGACAATTATTGCCGGTGCTCTCCGTCTTCCCATTTATGTTTCATGTCAAAAACAGTTACGGTGCGAGTTCGCTCTCCAGCTCAAGAAATGTCTCTTCTTTGCCAATTACTGGGTTCGTTGAGGGACAGAAATCATCAAATCATACAGTTTTATTTTTTTTACATAAAACCTTTAACCTTAAAACCAAATTCATCAATTTCTAGGGTTACAATCACTCGAAATTCACTCAAAGTGACGTCCGAACTGGTTCCACCGATGATTTAGAGGTATTTTTTGCATTTTTGACATTTTCTTTGAACTCTTTAACTCTTCAATCAATCAACTTTAATTCATTTAGTGAGTTTTGAGCAGTATGTAAATTTGGCAAGTTATGCAAAAAAAGTTGCAAAGATTGCAAAGATCGATTTAAAAAAAAAAGATTTCTTTGAATGAATGCAAGTTCAATGAAGTGCAGTTCTTCTCTAATTGTTGAATTTCGATGAAAATTCTTTCTCTTCTAATTGCACGTTCTCAAAAAATCTCTTCTTCGTTTTTCTTCGTTCTGGCTTTCCGAGTTTTCTTGCAAGTTTGAACTTCTAAAAATTTCTCTATCATTGTTTGAGCACGAATAGAAGAGAATGAAAGATGTGAAGAAAATGGGATTGCTTTTTGGAAAAATGTAAAGATCGATTTAAGAAACGAGAATTTATCTAGAAGCTATTCTATAGCTATTCTTTATTCTAAATGTAAACACTTCCCTTCTGGTGCACTTCAAAAAACGTTTCAAACCGTTTCTGTACACTAGAAATGGTGGGTTTTATGTTTTCCCAAGCATAAAGTGAATTTTTAAGAAGGATTACATTAAAATACATTAGAATACATTAGAATACATTAGAATACAATAGAATACAATAGAATACAATAGAATACATTAGAATACATTAAAATACATTAAAATACATTAGAACACATTGGAATACATTAAAGTCTCTCAAAGTTGAGTCTCTCAAATGCCCGTCTTTACAATTTTCCATCAAAAGAGCAATCCCATAGTGAAGTGTCGAAATTTTTCACTAGAAATGCAAAAAGAAATTTTCCCAAAACCTCGTTGTAGCTGGGCGATGGAGCCGCTGATGACGCGGGAGGAGGCGGTCAATATGCTAATTTGTTGATGGCATTGGGAACAGCGCTCTTACAAAAACAACAACCAGGTGGACTGGAGAAAGGACAAGAAAAAGGACAAGAAAAGGAAAGGAGAAGATCGTCGAATAAAATCTCCAATCAACTGCCACCGCATCGACCATCGATTACGGTAGAGATTTCATAAGAATGCAACCGATAGTAAGCAAATTGGGGTTGGCAAATCTCGGTAGCACATTTAAAGGGAAAAAGTCTACGTCCAGTTGATCTGGTTTTAAACTGGTTCGAAAAGTTGATCTGGTTTAGAAGCAGTTGATCTGGTTGATCTGGTTGATCTGGTTGATCTGGTTTAGAACCAGTTGATCTGGTTGATCTGGTTGATCTGGTTTAGAATCAGTTGATCTGGTTGATCTGGTTGATCTGGTTGATCTGGTTGATCTGGTTTAGAACCAGTTGATCTGGTTGATCTGGTTGATCTGGTTGATCTGGTTGATCTGGTTGATCTGGTTTAGAACCAGTTGATCTGGTTGATCTGGTTGATCTGGTTGATCTGGTTGATCTGGTTTAGAACCAGTTGATCTGGTTGATCTGGTTGATCTGGTTGATCTGGTTGATCTGGTTTAGAATCAGTTGATCTGATTGATCTGGTTTAGAACCAGATCAACCAGATCAACTGGACGTGGACCAGATCAACTTTTGATGGATTTGACGAAAGTTGATCTGGTTCTAAACCAGATAAACTTTCAAAAGCTATCTTAATCTTTAGTTACCTTTCATCACCAAAAAAAATCATACTGAAAGTCGATAAATTGATTAAAACTAGTGAATTGCAATAGTTTTCAAAAGGTGATACATTTTAGAAAACCCAGTCAACAAGACTGAAGTACTGTAGCTTTGATGGAAACCAAGATTTGCCAAAAACCGACCTTTTTTTGCAATCTATAAAGAATGCAATCTATATTTTTTTGCAATCTTTTTTGCAATCTTATATAAATAATGTGTTAAAATATTAGTGAATGCGTGTGAACAACTAATTTGTAGGGTAATTAACAAATGCAGTAGTGCAAAATAGAAAATAAAGCCTGGAATTTTTAACGCAAAACCCCTTGCTTTTTTTTTCTATTCTGCAGCTTGATTGATTGATCTATTAGTTAGTAATTGACTTTTCTTTCTTTTCTACAATAATCTTTTCAAACTCTGTAATCATGTAAGATAAAAACGATAAAAGAACCAAATTTTATTTGGTGATTATTGAAATATTGCTATTTTTCGGATTGATTCTTATATTGTATTTCTATAAAGACCTCTAATGTAAAGCTATATATTAAAAATGTTGATGTGAAAGGAAAAGCTTCACATGTGCAAACTGGTTTACGAAATTTCGTTCTGGGGATAAATCCTTGAAGAAAAAGGGAGTCATTATCCAGCAGTCCACGCTGCAGCTTCAAACCAATAACAGCCTTTCTTCTCTAGCGAAACATTTATTAGTTTATCATACAATAATACTCGAAAATTCATTTGTATAAGCTTGAGCTTAAATGGAAATTACGAACTTGGACTCCATAGACACCCAAAAATGTGATTTTCAACACAGCCAAGCTGCAGCTGAACTGCTGGATAATCCCCTTTTCTCCCTTTTTTTCTTCAAGGATTTATCCCTAGAACGAAATTTAGTAAACCAGTTTGCATATGTCCTTAGTGGAGCTGATCTTTCCACATAAAAATCCTCAATATTAGCTGAACACTAGAGACACTAGATAAATGTTTTGATTGGAAAGAAAGGCTGTTATTGGTTTGAAGCTGCAGCGTGGACTGCTGGATAATGACCTCTTTTTTCTTCAAGGATTTATCCCCAGAACGAAATTTAGTAAACCAGTTTGCACATGTGAAGCTTTTCCTTTCACATCAACATTTTTAATATTTGGCTTTACATTAGAGACCTTTGTAGAAATACAATATAAGAATCAATCGGAAAAATAGCAACAATCAGCCGCGCTCATCTTTCTCGATGCTTTATGTTATTGGCTTTTAATTGAATTTTTATGCACGTCATTTATTTACTTTATCTATCAAAAAAATAGCTCAAAATTGTCCATCTAACGCATGCTATATTTCAGAATAAAAACTCTAACAGAGTTCAAACGAAAAATTCAATTGATAACTAAAAAATAATTAATAAACCACGCCTATTTTACAGTTGTTTTTAAAAAGTTTTCTAAAAAATGCACTCGAGAAAAGTTACCGTAGCTTAGCTGCTTCTAAAATGTGCCGATTATTGAAAACGACCGTAGTTCTGCTTTGTTTTTTTGTCTAATCTACGATAGAATTTCGATCGTTGATGCTTCAGAAAACGGACTAAAGGATAAGGACTGTTGTTTGCTACGAAAATAGCTCAATTACGGTAACCCTTCTAGAGTTGTTGAATAAAATTTAAAGAAACCACTTCAAAACTCTTTGTTCATTCAGAAATTGCAGGTGGATTCAAGCCTAATGGATTCTCCAATGAAACCTCGTCGCTTTATTCGCCTTTCTTTTGATGAGAACTTTTCCCACGAAGAGATGGTTTGAAAGCATTGAAAGAATTGAAAGAAAATCTCTAAACACACCCTCAAAAAGTGCCATTGAACTTTGAAATTCACGGGTTTATATGTATTTTTATAAATTAAAGATCAAATAAATGCTTTGCTGCACATGGATTTGTTAAAATGGAAATGAAAATGGAAATGAAAATGGAAATGAAAATGGAAATGGAAATGGAAATTGAAATAGTTTTTGTTCCGATTTTGAGACATTTGAGACGCGTCCCTTTTCTTTTCCCATCGGCAATCCAACTTTGAGCTCAAATTTCTTGGTTTTGAGCTTTTCAATTTCAATAGTTTTTTGTACCAATCGATAGAGAAAGACTTGGTGCGTTTAATGATATTAAGAAGATTTAAATTCAACAGCTCAACACCAAGATATTTGAGTTTAAAGTTAGATTGTTGATGGGAAATGAGGTGGGACGCGTATCAAATGTCCAATAAACTTGTTTCGCGTGAACGAGACGGGTTTTATATGCAATTTTTGAGGAAATTATGTAAGATTTTCAATTTACTCAATCCAAAACTAGAGATCGAGTGCACAAAAAAGGATTCGTTTACTCGTTTTTGAGCTCAAAATATACATAATATTGAGTTGGTGAATTGGCTTTGAAAGTTTTTCGATTCAAAACCAAAATCCTACCATGAAAGAGGAATCCGCAAATATGCCTGTAAAATGAGCAGAAGTCATCAATAATAATGGAAATTATTTCGAATGAATTTATGGTTTTATGTTCAATAAATTTTAGTTCAAAGTCTCGCAGTTTTCATTTCACCAATCCAATAGTATTGACTATAAGTACTGTAGTTTACGGAATTACTGTGGCTACAGCTAACAAGAAGATAATACTTGCTAAGGTTCAGACTGTTTTTTAATGTTTACGGTTTTGGACAAGCTCTGGCCGCAATTCGGTTCCCAATCAAATGAAACAAGATATTCAGCACTGTTCTCAGTAATACTCTTTCTAGCATAGTGATTTGTTGACACGATTTAAAAACGAATTAATAGAGGTACAATCCCTCGAAGTACCTTGAGATCCCTAAAGAAGAATAGGCCCTCCACGTCAAAGATCGTTCTCATCCACGACAACGCGCGCCCTCATGTTGCAAAACTGACTCGCTCTAAAATAAATAGCCTTGTTTGGGCACTTTTGGCGCATTCCCTATACAGTCCGGACCTTTTGATTACTATTTATTCCGGATCATGAGTAATGAGCTTGCGGGAGAACACTTCGATTCGGAAGAAGCAGTCAGAAATTGGCTTTGAAAGTTTTTCGATTCAAAACCAAAATCCTACCACGAAAGAGGAATCCGCAAACTGCCTGTAAAATGGGCAGAAGTCGTCCATAATAATGGAAATTATTTCGAATGAATTTATGGCTTTATGTTGAATAAATTTTAGTTCAAAGTCCCACAGTTTTCATTTCACCAACCCAATACAATCCTTTGTTCTTTATCTTATAATACCAAAAAAACAGTTTAGGTAATCAGTTTAGATATCAACATTTTCTTTGTGCCTACTGTAGTTTTTTTTATGTTCTGAAGAAACTCGAATCCTCACAAGCTATTGAAAGAATGACGAACGATGAGATTGTTTGTGACTCCATAAAGAGAATGCCTCTCTTTCAGTGATCGAATGTCTCTCTCTCTTTCATTCACATTCATTTTCTCGACCTCTAGAATAAAAGGAAAATGAAAAGAAATGAAAAGAAATGAAAAGAAATGAAAAGAAATGAAAAAGAAAGATCAAAACGGGTTCTTCGTCCATTCTCTTTTCTTTCTCTTCTCAATTTCCCCCAATTACCTCTTTGAAAACGATCACAAATTTCACCCTCAGAAAACCGCCTCAAGAAAGTCGATAGTTTGAATATTTTTTGTAAATTTATTGTTCTATTTAAAATACTTATTTCTTTAGATCATTTTTGCAACAAATTTCACTAGATTTTTCTGCATTTCTGCATTTTCTGCATTTTCTGCATTTTCTGCATAAAAAACGTCAAAAACCCATTTGATTTCAGATCTCTCAAAATGTTTCCCGTATTTCTCACCTTATTCACACTTTATTTTTGGGGTTCATCGGTGGGTGGGTGGCTCAATTAAAATCAGAAAGATTTTTTTCTTAAAATTTCCCCTTTAGGCAAGCGAGTACCATACTCCATCACTAAATGAAATCTCCGGATATCGAGATCCCGTGTTAAACGAGGTTTGTTTTACAGCAATTACATAATTACATAAATTATATAAAATTCTAAAGATAAAGATCAATTTCTCAAATTTAATTGAGCTACGTTTTTACGGGAAAATGTTCAATGCCCATTTAACTCTAACCAATCTTTGAACTCTTCTGAAGTTTACCGACTTAGGAAACTATACTTAGGAAACTATACTTAGGAAACTATACTTAGGAAACTATACTTAGGAAACTACCACTTAGGAAACTATACTTAGGAAACTATCACTTAGGAAATTATACTTAGGAAACTATCACTTAGGAAAATCTACTCTAGAACATTATTGTCACATTGTCACGATTGAATTCTTTATCTTTCCGATGAGTTTTCTTTTTCAAAGGTTTTCCGTGAGCATCAAATCGAATTATGCGAGAAAGCACTTGCTGGTGAAGCTCCTCTTTTACCAAACACACCTCCACCGCCTATCGCCCCACAGAATCCACATTATACTCTAGAACTTAGCAAAACCTACTCCAGAACATTATTGTCACATTTCTCGATTGAATTCTTTATCTTTCCAATGGGTTTTCTTTTTGAAAGGTTTTCCGTGAACATCAAATCGAATTACGCGAGAAAGCACTTCCTGGTGAAGCTCCTCTTTTACCAAACACACCTCCACCGCCTATCGCCCCACAGAATCCACATTATAAAGGTAAATTCTATCAAAAGATTATAAAGAGGTCATTTTTTCGCAAGAAGAGACAAGTTAACCAGAGTTAACCAACTACTGTATATTACATTGTACATTGAGCTATGAAAGTTTGACGTGCACTATTTTTCACAGGGGTATTTATGCTAAGCCCTTGAACTTATCTCCGAAATCCTCGATTTGATTTGAAAGGAAAATTGACTTTGACTAAACTTTGACTTTGACTAAAAATTGACTAAAGTAGTTACTAATGTAATGAATGTGAGTCTTTAAAAAGCGGAGATTAGATCTCATCTTTCATAGTTGCCTATTTGGATACTAATGTAAAATATGTTAAAGGTTGCATATTCTGCTTGATAAAGCTTACAATTTGGATAAACTTGCTTATCTTTTGGATAAGCTTTTGGATTTGGATTTGGAGCAATTTGGATAAGCTTATCTCAAATTTTCAGGCGAACTGCCCATTCAACGACCTGAGAATGGTTTCCAAGAGGCCTACAATGCGGCCAGTTCACAGATACCCGTGCCAGAAGGGATGAATGTGAGCCTTTAAAAAGCGGAGATTAGATCTCATCTTTCATAGTTGCCTATTTGAATACTGATGTAAAATAAATTAAATCAAAAAGCTAGCGATTTTTATTGAAAAATTTCCTTTTCAGAATTGGGCAGCAGCCGGCGGGCGACTCGCCTACGGGGGAGCACAAGCACTGTACTCGGGCGCCGAACAGGTTTTTTTTGTTATTAAAATCTATAGATATTCAATAGATTTAATGTAAAGAAGGCTTAATTTTTTTTTAAAGTAATATCTTTCGATTGGTTTTCAGTTTGGACGAGCGTTCGGCATCCCTCAAGCTCCACCAAATGCTCTTTTCGATTCAGCGGCTCGATTTTTTGGATAATAAAAAATGATTAGCATTCTTTGAATAATAAAAAACAAAATTACGGTGATAAATAGTATGCATTTAAAATGAAATAAAACAAAAATGAAACCAAACAAAAAAGCACTCGCCATCAGAAAATTGATAAATATCGAATTCCTGACAAAATCTGTTAAAGAATTTTTACTTTTACGGATTATATATATATATGTTGTGTCCGATTTAGATTTCCGTCCGATTTAGATTGAACTTATCGCGGACGTCCGATTTAGATTACAGTCTATATCGGATAATATATGTTCTCGGTCTTAATATATATTCTCGGTTGTCTGTGATCGATTATCTGTGAACGTTTTTAGACAAGCTATCAAGCACATCTATATAAGACGTATTATTGTTCAATCTATATAAGATTTAGATTGAATCTAAATCGGACGTCCGATATAGACTGTAATCTAAATTGGACGCCCGCGATAAGTTCAATCTAAATCGGACACAACATATATATATATATATTGTGTCCGATTTAGATTTCCGTCCGATTTAGATTGAACTTATCGCGGACGTCCGACTTAGATTACAGTCTATATCGGACGTCCGATACAGATCGAACAATAATAAACGTGCTTAATATATGTTCTTAAGCGTTTTTTTGCAATTTTCTGCGTTTTTCAAAGAAATTTTCAAAGAACATATGTTAAGCACGTTTATTATTGTTCGATCTGTATCGGACGTCCGATATAGACTGTAATCAATAAAAGACCTTTGAAAAATGCAGAAAACTACAGAAAACGCTTAAGAACATATATTAAGCATGTTTATATTATTGTTCAATCCATATAAGATTTAGATTGAATCTAAATCGGACGTCCGATATAGACTGTAATCTAAATCGGACGTCCGCGATAAGTTCAATCTAAATCGGACGGAAATCTAAATCGGACACAACATATATATATCTAGATACTTTATTCAGGACCTGAGATAAAGTGCGCTAGATTTAAGATTAAAACACATGAATTCATACACATAACACGAAAAGGGCCGATAAAAAGAAACACGGTATAATATATGTAAAATGTGGGTAGCACAGATAACGATTATAAAAAAATTTTTCTCGATCAATTCTAATATTTTTCTAGGATTTCTTTAAGAAAAAAAAGTTCATTTTCAAGCAATCCTGAACTTTTCTGTATTTTGTGACAGTGTACCTTGTGATGGCGGGAGAAAAAGGGGAAAGCAAATAAGGAAAACGCAAAACGCAAAAATTTGTGCGAATTTGTCCGGGAAATTTTCAACTTAAAAGAGTCTAAATTCAGGTACAAATTTGGGTATAAAAAGATTTCGGAATGAAGATCGGGAAAAGATATACAGTTTTTGTCAAAATCTACCATACTTTTAACTTTTCTTCTCACTATTTCGTGTTTTTAGTTTAAACTTGCTAACACTTTTGAACTTCTTGAAATCAGATTCATTCCCAATTTACTTGTCGATTCTCCAGTTCTATGTGTGGGTGTGAATGGATGCTCTCTTGTTCTTTTAAAATTTCCTATAAACCTAAAGAACTCTTCGAAATAATCTGAAAATAATGGGCAAATCTCAGAGCATCGGAACATCGAAACACTTTTATTTTTCGAGCAGACTTCAACCATTCCGGGAAACAAAAAATAGAACTGGTTTGATTGGGCAAAAATGAAATAATAATGATTCCATCAAAATAAGAGCAGTTTTTGGTGGAGAACTTTCAAAGGAAATAACTGGGTGAATCCTTTGGAAATGAGACAGATCCCACAGTCAGAAATGAAGGAATAATAATTCTATTCTAACCATTTGTAAGTCAAAGTCTAACCACTTGTAAACGTTCCATTACTTGAATAGATATCTAATTCCCCTTACACTCCTTTCTTTTCATTCCCATATTTCATCGTACTTGATTTCTAAACAAATCTCCCGATTAGTCCAAAATAATCGGAACATTTTCGAGAACAACAATAAATTGACCTTCAATTCTTTATTTCAAAAATTCTCCCCAACCTTTGATGATCTTTGTTGTTATATTCTAGTTCAGAAACTCTTCTAAACCCTCAAATGATTGGAGAGAAATCCTTCAGAAAAAAGTTTTATTTCCAAAATAATTGAATGCTTTGATTTTCGATAAAAATGGAATCTGTTTTTGAAATGAAAAATGAAAGAAGAGAACAAAAATGAATGAATTGAGGGACATTTTGTGTGTTCTGTGGAAAGAAGGAGTGTTTCGATGGAAATGGATGCATTTGGAATAGAAATAGGGGAAGGGGACTTTGGCTCATTAGGGAAGGTTCGAAAATACAAAATTTAGATTTCAATAGGGAAAATGGGGAAATGGAGGGAAATTGGAGAGGCTGAGACGGGAGAAGAGAGGGGAATCGGGGTTTACGAGAAGAATGAGATGGTTAGAGGAATGGAAAAGATTTAGAATCTATTGGGGAAGTGAATAGAGAAAATAGAGCACAAAATAAAGTATTCAGATTTCAGTTGAATCCCCTATTCTCTACATCTCTTTCTCTCTCTTTTCTCCCATTTTGTTCTTTCGATTTCTCTTTTCTCTTTTCAATCACTCGCCTATATAAACCCAAATGGAAAACTCGAAAATCGGTGTGAGAATTGAGAATTTTCTTTTGTAAGCTTTTCCAACCTGATCTATCAACAAATGTACCAGTTCGAGCTGTACTGAACCCCGTACTCGCAAACTCTAGTACTAGATCCATTTGAATCGAACTAAACAGCCTCTCATATCTCTTTCTCCTGAAAAGAACCTTTCAATTTCAAACTTCTCTTGCCTTCCGTAATATGTTAAATAATTTCAATCCAATTTCAGCCTTCAATTCCACTCCAATTCCTTCCAAAAATGCTCCTTCTCCAAACGATTCTTTTCCATTTTTGCCCCAATTTCGTCGCCACAATTTTCTCCGTTCAATTTGTAAGTTATTTAAAGAAAAATAAATCAAAAATATGCCTTAATACCTAAAATCTAAAAATATTCCTTCATTTTCAGTATCTCGTCTATGGAATTCAACAATTTTTCCACAATTACTGCCAAATTTTGAAACTTTTATGGCTTGTGGGATCGTATGCCTTTGAAGAAAATGTTCAGGTAAATAGAAAGATAAAAAGATATTCAATCAGAGGAATATCTCATTCATTTTCAGCCACAAATCATCGATTTCTTCACGAGAAATTCAGCCTTCGAACTTCTTTTCATTATTGGATCTTTTGCTCTTCTATTCAAATGGGCACTCACCGAACTGGGATACGGTAAGGGAATTCATAAGTATTATATGGCTAATATCTAGAATTTACATAGATAAGTAAATACTATGATTTATATGCAATTATATAATCATCCAAAAGATGTAAATTTCAGAGCTACAAATCGGTTTCAAAGAAGAAAATTGTGAAGATGAGAGTTGAGTGAAGGAACATTTCAAAAATCGGCCCAAAATGGATACACTTCTTGAGTGTAGATTAGGATATTTAATTGAGAAAATTTGAATGTTTGTACATATTTGTGGTTTTGTTTTTCAAAATTGGTGCAAAAGGGAAGAGAACGGGTTGAAAAAATATACATATTAGGAGATGATATGCAATTTGCGAAATCGTCCGTTTGAATAAATCGATTTTATTCTTTATTGTTTTGATTTAAATTCACATGATTTAATGCTACAATTCAGCAGATAAACCCGAGAATCAAGATGCACACGATTGCTCATTATCAAACGATCATACGGCTCTTTCTTCCTGTGACTTATAGTCAAACATAAGAGTTATGGATAAGGTTAGGTAGCTAATTACTTCCAAAAGTGTGTCTTACTTTCAGATCTCGGGGCAACACTTGCAAAACTATTTTTATCTACCACATCTCAAAATAGTGTGAAAAAAAAGATGGCTATGAATCACCTTTTTGTGGTACAATATTTGTTCCCAATTATCGAGTTTTGAAAAAAGTAGGGCCCAAAATCCTTTAGCCAAAAAGGGAGATGTGAAACAAAGATTAGGTTTTGGACAAAGGCAAAGGCAAAGGCAAGTTTACATTTGGAGAAACCGAGTCGTCGAGTGGATTCTAAGCAACTCCATAACTACTGTAACCCTGCCAGCTATCATACCCATTGTGACGAACGTTAATGTAGTGCTTCATGGTAGAATGGCATGAATAAACTGGATTCTGCTATGTCGATCATTTTCTTTTCTATTGCAATTCATTCTCTATTCTGCACTAACTCTAACCAATAAGCAATTCTGTAGTAAAATGTTCCACATGTTCAAACTTTTCATGATCAAAGTTTTGCCAAAGATGATATCATGTTTGTTGGACTAGGATAAAGCTTGACCAATCAATCAAAAAAAACTCGTTCCATTCATACTCGAAACATCAATCACTCGCAATTGTTGTATTCTAGTTGTTAAAAAAGAACTCGTTTTAGTAGTGCATCAAAAACTCTCTGAGTAATTGATCGGATTGGAGTTTGTCAAAAAAAACGATCAACCAGCTACTGAGTGAAAGCTCAGAATATCGGGGAAGTGAAAACGAACAACAAACAACAAATCCGGTTTTGCATTTTTCAAATATTGAAAACGCAGGAAACTTTATTCAACAGTGTAAATGACTTCAAGGTGTTTCTTTACACATTTTCTTTTAATTCGTTCACCAATCAGTGAAATCATCGGCGAGTTCCTCGTCGGTGAATACAGAAAAACTAAAAAGAGAAATGATTGCACGATTTTAAAAGTAGTACTCAATCCAGTTATAAAATAAAGCACAAACATACTCAAGTTTTGGCAGGATGATCTTTCGTTCCACAAAAATCACGTCCGCTTTCGTTTTCATTTCCTCATTGATTAAAGCATTTTCTGAAAAAGTGTATCAACAAGCTATAAAATCAAAAAACCTTCATCGGGTTCCTCCAATTTCGGAAGACTCGAGATTGATTTAGTCGCATGAGCGGCACGGAGAGCGGCCATTGGTGGAGGTGGAGAACCGATCACTAAAGAAAATTGCATTACTCGATAGAATAACAAGTGCCCAATTGCTCATAGCCAATACCTGAGTATGAGCAATTGAAAACTCAATCTTTGTTCTAAAACTCACTACTTGTGGCATCAAGATTGATATTAGGCGAATAGCTGAGCTTTGGAGGAAGCGGCGATGAGGGAGGGGTTCGCAAGAAGAACAGCATTTGTTTTGGCGAGCTCTAAATAAGAATTTAAATCCAAATAATAAATAAGCTTTGCAACTCACATTATCAAACGGTGATCTGTACAATCGATCAGGCGTACTAAACTCTTCAGCGGAACTAAAAACGCCAAATATTTCCCTTAAAACCGGAAACAAACCTTGTAACTTCTTTTGAATTGCTTTCCGAGACGGTCACCGTGCTGTTCGATTCCGATATGTTGTCTCTAGAAAGAAAAAGAAATACAAAAGCTATATGATTTTCCCAAACTTGATCTCATTAAAGAGAAATCCGCGATTCGAGAGCACTTTGCGCACACGAGACGAGGCGAAAAGCGGGATGCGTGTGATCTTGGGCTCTAAAGAACAAATATTAAATAAATAAAATAAAAATTTAAACAACAAACCATAATCCTCGTCAAATGGATGGATTTGGGGCATTTCCTCAAAATCTTTCTGTGCACTTATCGCTAATTTTTGCAAACTCTGCAGGTGTTTGATGCAAAAGGCGAGAAAGCTTCTCTGAAAAAGACAAAAGTTGAATGTATTTAAGAAGAGATTTGATTTTCATAGAAAATTTAAAAAACTAACTTTATCAGTATGGTAGAGACTCAACTCGTGCACATAGGTGATCGTGTTGGCCAATGTATGAAGGAAAAAACTGTAGTGATTGAGGAGACGATTGTGCCATCCACGATTGCTATCTCTAAAAGTAAACTACAATTTCATTTAGCTATTTAATCAACAATTACCTTTAGCTACTTAGGCAAATCATTTTATCGCTATAAGTGTCAATATTTAGTGGCTGATCAACAATCTCCAAAAAAAACTTCTTCACCCACCCCACTTCTTTGGCTTTCTTCAGACAATTGTCCATCACATTGCGCATTATTTGACACGCTTCTCCCTCGAAACGTTCCATCACCACATTGTTGCCCTAAACAATCAAAATTTTTATCATTTTAAGAAGGTTTCATTACTTCTGAGGTAGATCGAGGTGATCGAGGAGGTGATAGGGATCGAAGTGAGTCCACCTAAATTTTAACATTAAAAAAACTGTTTAGCACTAAAAAGCAATTAAAAAAAGTAGTACAAAAGTCGGATCTTTGGGCTTTTTAAGCAAAGTTTTAATGAATTGAACAAAAATATTTCAAGCAGCCATAACCGGCTGCCGTTTAGATTCCAATAAAGCTAAAAGTCAGCAAAAACCTCAATCGAACTCATCCAGCCGATCGATAAGCTGTAGAGAAAGGAATGAATCACAAATTAAAAATTTTTCCTTTCCGCTTTATCTAGAAATTTATAAATTTTGAGTCTTATATGCAAAGTAATTGAAAGGCATTTAAAAATCTTTTTTGAACCACTGAATCATCCAGAATCGAGAGGTGATTCATAGCCATCTTTTTTTTTCACACTATTTTGAGATGTTGTAGATAAAAATAGTTTTGCAAGTGTTGCCCAGAGATCTTACAGTCAGACACACTTTTGGAAGTAATTAGCTAACTAACCTTATCCATAATCTGTTATGTTAGACTATAAGTCACAGTAAGAAAGAGCCGTATGACCTCTTGATTCTATGACCTCTTGAGCCGTATGACCTCTTGATTCTCGGGTTTATCTTTATCTTTATGAATTGTAGCATTGAATCATGTGAATTTAAATCAAAACAATAAAGAATAAAATCGATTTATTCAAACGGACGATTTCGCAAATTGCATATCATCTCCTAATATGTATATTTTTTCAACCCGTTCTCTTCCCTTTTGCACCAATTTTCAAAAACAAAACCACAAATATGTACAAACATTCAAATTTCCTCAATTAAATATTCTAATCTACACTCAAAAAGTGTATTCATTTGCCGATTTTGGGCAGATTTTTGAAATTTTCCTTCACTCAACTCTCATCTTCACAATTTTCTTCTTTGAAACCGATTTGTAGCTCTGAAATTTACATCTTTTGGATGATTATATAATTGCATATAAATCATAGTATTTACTTATCTATGTAAATTCTAGATATTAGCCATATAAAACTTATGAAGTCCCTTACCGTATCCCATTTCGGTGAGTGCCCATTTGAATAGAAGAGCAAAAGATCCAATAATGAAAAGAAGTTCGAAGGCTGAATTTCTCGTGAAGAAATCGATGATTTGTGGCTAAAAATGAATGAGATATTCCTCTGATTGAATATCTTTTTATCTTTCTATTTACCTGAACATTTTCTTCAAAAGCATACGATCCCACAAGCCATAAAAGTTTCAAAATTTGGCAGTAATTGTGGAAAAATTGTTGAATTCCATAGACGAGATACTGAAAATGAAGGAATATTTTTAGATTTTAGGTATTAAGGCATATTTTTGATTTATTTTTCTTTAAATAACTTACAAATTGAACGGAGAAAATTGTGGCGACGAAATTGGGGCAAAAATGGAAAAGAATCGTTTGGAGAAGGAGCATTTTTGGAAGGAATTGGAGTGGAATTGAAGGCTGAAATTGGATTGAAATTATTTAACATATTACGGAAGGCAAGAGAAGTTTGAAATTGAAAGGTTCTTTTCAGGAGAAAGAGATATGAGAGGCTGTTTAGTTCGATTCAAATGGATCTAGTACTAGAGTTTGCGAGTACGGGGTTCAGTACAGCTCGAACTGGTACATTTGTTGATAGATCAGGTTGGAAAAGCTTACAAAAGAAAATTCTCAATTCTCACACCGATTTTCGAGCTTTCCATTTGGGTTTATATAGGCGAGTGATTGAAAAGAGAAAAGAGAAATCGAAAGAACAAAATGGGAGAAAAAAGAGAGAAAGAGATGTAGAAAATAGGGGATTCAACTGAAATCTGAATACTTTATTTTGTGCTCTATGTTCTCTATTCACTTCCCCAATAGATTCTAAATCTTTTCTATTCCTCTAGCCATCTCATTCTCCTCGTAAACCCCCGATTCCCCTCTCTTCTCCCCGTCTCAGCCTCTCCAATTTCCCTCCATTTCCCATTTTCCCTATTGAAATCTAAATTTTGTATTTTCGAACCTTCCCTAATGAGCCAAAGTCCCCTTCCCCTATTTCTATTCCAAATGCATCCATTTCCATCGAAACACTCCTTCTTTCCACAGAACACACAAAATGTCCCTCAATTCATTCATTTTTGTTCTCTTCTTTCATTTTTCATTTCAAAAACAGATTCCATTTTTATCGAAAATCAAAGCATTCAATTATTTTGGAAATAAAACTTTTTTCTGAAGGATTTCTCTCCAATCATTTGAGGGTTTAGAAGAGTTTCTGAACTAGAATATAACAACAAAGATCATCAAAGGTTGGGGAGAATTTTTGAAATAAAGAATTGAAGGTCAAGTTATTGTTGAAATGGAATGATCTCTAAACATTTCGGAACTTAAAGCCCAACACTTTGAAAAGTGATTCATTCAGAGGAAAAATGACTTAACATTTCAATGAATGATTCATACAAATCTGCACCGGAAAAGCCATATTTATTGAAAAGTGCAATGAGTGATTCTGCTGAATTACAGCTTGTGTTTTCGATGGGATTTTTGAAGTAATGGAACGTTTACAGAAGGTGATCAGCTTTTGACTCACGCATGGTTAGAATAGAATCATTATTCATTACAAGAATACTTTTGACAGTACTGATGGGTACAAAAATGATGTAAGATTTTGATCCCTCGTACTTATTGAATTTCTTTCAAATCTCAACATCGTTCAGGCGTTTTACTTTCTGAATAAGCTAGAGAAAGCCCATTTTGTTTATGTGATATCGGATATTTTGAGGAAATGATTGATGAAGCTAAAATCCCTCGAAAATGTTCCGATTATTTTGGACTAATCGGGAGATTTGTTTAGACATCAAGTACGACATGATGAAATATGGGAATGATTGGAAAAGAAAGGAGTGCAAGAGGAATTAGATATCTATTCAAGTAATAGAACGTTTACAAGTGATTAGACTTTGACTTACAAATGGTTAGAATAGGATTATTATTCATTCACTTCTGACTGCGAGATCTGTCTCATTTCCAACACTATTCTCAACGATTTCCACTTGCAGTCATCACTTACAGCTCTAGCCTCATTTCCAAAGGATTCACCCAGTTATTTCCTTTGAAAGTTCTCCACCAAAAACTGCTCTTATTTTGATGGAATCATTATTATTTCATTTTTCTGCCCAATCAAACCAGTTCTATTTTTTGTTTCCCGGAATGGTTGAAGTCTGCTCGAAAAATAAAAGTGTTTCAATGTTCCAATGCTCTGAGATTTGCCCATTATTTTCAGATTATTTCGAAGAGTTCAGTTCTTTAGTTTTATAGGAGATTTTAAAAGAACAAGAGAGCATCCATTCACACTCACACCCACACATAAAAACGAGAATCGACAAGTAAATAGGGGAAATGGGTACATTTTGGGATTAATGGAAAGGAGGAAGAGAGATGGATCTTTTCGCGGAACTTCAGTAAATCAAACAAATTGTATTTATGGATTAAAAAGAAATTTTATCATTTCCTTTATTCATGCCATTTATTCACTGAAAGCTGTATCAGTAGACGGTAGTCGTTTGCTTTTCCGCCATTTCTTCAGAGTTTCCTCTCTTGGTAGTTCGACGGGCAACTTTTTCGCTTCTTTCCACACTTTCCATGGCGAATTTTTGCTGGAATGGATAACTTTTAGATTTTTAGAAAGTAATACCGAAAAGAAGGTAATATTATGTAGGCAGGCAGGAGCAGGAATATCGGTCGAATGATGAATGATGTGTCGACCAAAAAGTACAGTTTTCCACAGGGGAACGAGAGAGCTGGGACTTTGTGAAAAGCACACTAAAGATCTCATTATATGGTTATCTTAGTTGTTTCTCTCTATCAAAGCACTTTTTAAACTGTATCAACTTTGGAGAAGTACCGTAACCTTTTCTCTAGTCCTTATCCGGATCTTATCGCAAACCTTCTATTTACTTTTTAAACTCCTTTTTGTACTTTGTAAATCAAATATAGATCACCTGGACAAGACTTGAGAGCGATTACGGTAGTTTTCTGAAGTTGGCATATTTAAAAAAAAGATTAAGTTAAAAAGAAGCCTGCATCGATCAAAGGATCAAAGGATCAAAGGATAAAAAAAAGATGAAGTTAAAAAAGAATACACTCTAGCCTGCATCGATCAAAGGATTTTCTAGGTTCCTAGAAAGGACAAACTGTTTTTTTTTTTCAAATTTTTAATGAATCTGCCTTATAGAAGTTCCCATTGCAATCTTCCCAACCTGAGCCTCTTCAGTGAATTTTGTCAATGCCGCAACGCCAAGATTTGTCCCTAGAATCGTTTTTAGTTTCCATGACTGTAAATAGCCTAAAGAATGCCCCTAACAAAAAGCAATATTACCAGAATACTGTTGCAAGAGAAACCAAAAACTGTTCCCAAAATCAAACCTATATCGAAAACGATGAATGGTAAAGTGATGAAACAATAGAAAATCAAGACCCCGATCAAGTTGCTTTTTGCATCTAAACAAATATTTTAAAAGTTTGCTATTATTTCGAATTTTTACCTACCTTTCACAGCGATGTCTTTCTCAAATCGAGAATACTTCGCGTGTTTGCAAGGACACAAAAGAAAGATCTAATTGTAAGAAAAAAAAATGAATATGATTTAAGTGATGCTGTTTTTTTTCTTACAAAGAATAGCAAATTCATTGACATTCCCAGGGAAAACAGCTCAATCGAGATGTTCATCCAATACCAGAATCGCAATGGAGCCTCGGAGATTGAGAGGATCGAGAGGGACAAACACAGGACGACCAATGGGAGATAGATCTTCCAATCTCTGAAAAAAACTAAACAGTTGTTTACCTTTGGCAGGTAGAAATGAGCAAGTACAGATCAAGTGTTGCAATCAGGAATGTTCCAGGCCAAGTCCTGCCCCGACTTTACTAGCATCCTGGTCTGGTTCGCAAAAAGTACCTGGGTTAGTCAAATCCAGGCCTGTTACCTGTTACCTCTACCTGATTTGGCTTGGCTTATTGGGGCTTTGAACATCCCTGAACTTCTATAGGGTGGCGCATAATTACCCGCACTCAGTTCAAATTCACATTCTGAACTTTGATCCCTAATTTCGAAATTCATTGTTTTCTAGTAAAGATGAGCTAGATTTTGGAAATCATAAGTAAAAAGGAGTAAATGAAGCTGGTTTTCTTTGATTTTGAGCCATTGAAACTAGTTACAAAAACCAGAAAATCGCGATTCCGCCCCAGGAAACGTATGTCACAACTTTGCAACGCTCTAGCAAAAGTTTAGAAACTTTTCTGATCAAATCCAGAAAGCACATTGCGAGAAAAATATTCAATTTGATAATAAAAAAAGAATTTGGTCGATTGATTGACTCTTCGCTAGGCTAGAGAATCTGAACTGAGTGCGGGTAATTGTGCGCCACCCTGTACATACAAAAACTTTGGCGGTCGTCGATTCAGATGCGTGGCCAGGGCGATTAGATGGAGTGCCATTGAGCCAAACGATAGAAATAATATCGTCGTCCTTGACAAAACAAATGTCATATACAACGAAGTGTTCGAATTCCAGCTGAATATTGAATCATTTAGCTGATGATTTCTTCAACTTGCCCATAGCTCGCGTAGATCAACAAATTCGTGAATCGAGAGAGGAGATGGAGAGAGAAAAGTGAGGAAATGATCCCAAAAAAGAGATGAATGAAGTCACGACGAACCATCAATAACATTAGCTGAATGGTTTAGATTTTGAAAAAAGATGATGCCTGATCACCCAAATTGACGACAGAACAAGTGCATCTAAGACGGTCAACAAGATGTCGACGAAGCTGCCAGGGTCTGAAGACTTATAGTCGTTAAATCAACGTTAAGTGTCTACCATGAAATATCGTTGCCCCGCCAAAAAGAGCCTCATGCACAGTGAATTCAGTGATTCTTGGTAAAGTGTGCAAACTGTCAATCATTTCGATAACACTCGCCTCATACTCTTCAGCTTTTCGTTGGATCTAATGAATATTTGATAAATTTAGGCTAATCTGGTACCTCGGCTTTTGGCTGACTTGGTAACTCATCTTTTTAATTACTTTTTACTCTACTTAGCTACTTACCTCATTGACAAATGACAGTGTTAGGTTACTGGTTTGTAGGAGAATCGCGAAAGCCACATTGCGGAGTGCGTCGATGAAAGTGAGCGTCTCTGAACTTAGAAATTTTTGATTTAGGAAATTGAAATCACGACTTCTCAGTGTTAATTTAATCTAATCAAATCTTCTGACCGTATTTCGCTTGATCAATGCTGTGTCGAGCCTCTTTTTCAGCATCATTGATGAGTCCGAGGATGAGTTGACGTGCCAATTCAAGCACATCACCAAATACTGAATTGTTAGGAAAGTTTTTGATTTAAACTAAATCTTGATGATTTATTTACCCAATGAACTCGTTTTTTTTCCAATAAAACTCACATTTTTTAGACGAGTCATGGTGTAAGACTCGGGCTTGTAAGTCCAACATTAATGTTTGTAAGTGAGAATAAATGATTTGAAATAGATATTGATTACTTCTTAAATCCACATCTTAATCTCTTCACTTTAAAAAAGTGCCGAAAGAAGGCGTCTTTTTATGTGTCGATATATTGAAAATCGTTAATGTTGCCAGGCTGGTCGCTCACAGGCAAAACACATATTGAAGAAATGGATTCTCGTTGTTGAGTTTTTCTAAGCTGAAAGAGAAAACATTTGTTTTTGATCTCATAGCTCAACGATCATCAATTGAACGATCATCGCTCACCGATCATCTATCAATTGAACTGTGACGCCTTGTCTCACACAGTATAGTTTCATTCGATATTTATTCTGATATACTGTCGCGTAACAAGGAATGTGGGTTTTACAGTTCAATCGTTTGAATCCAATAGTTGAACATGATAATTTGAGATCACTGCACAGTATTTTGGAGAACTAAAGCATAAGCACAGACCTTTTATCAAGACTACACTTTATGGAACAAACTGGACTTTGACATCGAAGATCGTTGGCTATGTTGATGTATTTGTGTGGATAAACTGTTCATGCTTTTTATATCCGTTTTTAAAGAACATGAACTCTTCATAATAAAACGTTTTTCTGTAAAAACTATCTAACTAGAAATCTATTTGTGTGGGTAACTTGACCTAAAGAACTTTTCGATATTTGATTGGAAAAAACTAAAACAAATGTACTTGGACATTTTATTTTTGGATTTTGATCGATTGAGCAACGAAAGTATCGTTTCTGTGTTTCCTGAAACAAAAATAGTTGATGGTATGATGGTGACTAAGCATCTGCGTGCATTTTTGTGTTGAAATAGGAACAAAATATCGATGAAAAACATTTCCACTTCTAAGCTTTTGAGAATTCGCCATTTGATCTTCAGCACATTTTTGATAAAACATCAATCACTAATTGCAAGTTCAATTTGAATTTTGAATGTGTAAAGTGTAAAGTGAAAATTGAGGAGTTGAGGAGGAGAACCTTTAACCCAAAACCTTGTTTTGTTCACTAGTAATTGATTTATTTTCACATAGTGTTTCTTTGCTTTTTATCAAATTTTGATCTTCTCTACTCATATATTTGTTCTTGTAGACACACCGAAAAGAGATTTCTTATAGATAAGGGTGGAATGGAATGGAAAGAAATGAGAATGGGAAAAGGCTGAGAGTCCCTGGAGATACGTAAGAGCTTTTCCCGAGGCTGTGGATCTTGGCCCGATGACGTCACTGAATAAAAGAACACCTTTTGGTTTCTAGGGTTGACTAAGCGGCTAGGTTGGTTTTGTTTTTTCATTTCTCAATTTTTGAATTCATCTACAGCTTATTTTACTTGTTGATTCTATTTTTAGCATAGGTTTATTAAAGTAAAAGCAACGTTGATTTGACGAGATGATTCACGAAATTTCCCAATTCTTGTATCAATGCTGTATCTTTTCTACACTTGCACACAATTTGTTTTTAAGGATTTTTTTACAGGTTCATTTAGATCTCATTTCGCTCATTTGTTGATCAAATTATGAGCCAAAAGAAGAGCCAATCTCTTTTGTGGTGAGCGGAAGCTGGAAGGGAGAAATCTCCCTGATCAATATTGCTCTGGAAAGGGATGACTGGGCTGGTCGAGCAAGGGGTAGCCGCTATCGGAATGCCCCCTCTGAAAAGAGGCCTCATCTTTTTGCGGGCCGAGCTTTTCATTGAGCATTTGGGGAGGAGAAAAGGCAGACATTTCTTTGAGAGACGGAAAAGATATTCAGGGAAGAGCTAGAGGAAAAATAGGGTTAAGAGAAATAGACATTTTCAGGCAATATTTACTTTTGAAGAGAGAATTTTGGAAAAAGAGGGAGCGGAGGGGGTAAAGATGAGATGCTGTTGGATATAGTGTGTTCCTGTGGAGGTTTAGAGAAATTCTCGTCTAAACACACAGGAGGCTGCCCAGCAACGATTAGAGCCGGGGCGACACACCGCGGGGAGGGACCCCTTTCCTCTTCCCCATCTCTTTTCTATGCACAGACGCCACCCGACTGCCTTGAAAACTTCTCATCCCTTTTCTCCTCAAATGCTCACCCTAGCGTTAACTCACAGTGAAGGGTCACCGCCCGTTTTTTTCGCATTTTGAAAATTTCCGTGCTGAAAATCGACTCGACTTGACGAGACGTTGGGGTTCAATTTTCCGCAGCACTGTTCAGTTTGCCATTTTTTTTCTTTTTTTGGTTTTTGGCCCAAATTTTTAGAAAAGCTTGAAGAATATGCCTTTACAACTGCCACATGGTTGTAAAGAGTCAAGTTTTTGCTAACAACTCGAATACTCTAGTCAATATTGTACAAATGAATATTTCAAGCATCAGCTGAATATCTCTTTTAGACTTAGTTTCCTTAATAAATTGCTCAGCCCTCATTTTTTCATTTTTCTGTCAAACTTTCGCCCGGAGTGTGAACCGATCCGTTTTCAATTAGCCCCGAATTAATCTCCGTTTCATTTTCAATGCTCTTTGCTGTTAGTCTAGATGCCTTTCACACTCATTTTACGAGCCAATGAGAAAGAAAATCAAACCAGCAGCGCACTGATAACGAATCTCGTCTTCCCGTTTGCAAATTTTATCGATTTATGAAAAAAAGTTCAGAAATGATTACTGTAATTTCTCATCTAACATTTCTTTCGCTCATCCTTTACTATTGGTTTTTATATTGTTAGATGCTTTCAACTGTTTTCCTTTTTGCGCTAAATCATCATTTTCATTTTTCAGAATAAACATGGGGAACAAGAAAAAGATGAGGAGATCAATGAACTCAAGAAAGAAGTCAAGATCGTAAGTTTTTGTGTCTAGCTACGATTTATTGTCCTAGAAGTCGTGTAAACTTATATTTAACTTGTAAATTTAGAATGAACACACAATTCCCCTCGAAGAACTCCTCGCGAGATACCAAAGCAATGTTGACACGGTTCGTTTTACTAGTTGTTAAAATTTCATGTTTTATGACGACAACTTTATACATTTACTTTAGGGATTGACCAGAGCGAAAGCCGCTGAATATCTGGCTCGTGATGGACCCAATGCTCTCTCGCCACCAAAAACCACTCCGGAATGGTTTGTTTGATGCTTTAACAACAAGTTTATTTTATTTTTAGGATTAAATTCTGCAAAAACTTGTTCGGAGGATTCGCCTTGTTGCTCTGGGTGGGAGCCGTGCTTTGCTACATTGCTTACTCAGTCGACTACTTCACCATGGAGTACCCATCAAAGGACAATCTCTACCTTGGAATCGTGTTGATGAGTGTCGGTGAGTTATCTTATAAAAGACTTGTAAAAGAATTTCATTTCGTTTAGTCATTGTCACCGGATGCTTCCAATACTATCAAGAAAGCAAATCAAGCAAAATCATGGACTCGTTCAAGGTAGAGTTTTGAAGGTTTATATTTAAATTCCACTCTTTAGAACATGGTCCCCCAATACGCGCAAGTCATTCGTGATGGCAGCAAGCATCAAATTCGAGCCGAAGAAATCGTCATTGGAGATATCGTCGAAGTGAAAGGCGGTGATCGTGTCCCAGCTGATATCCGTGTCATCTCGTCTTTCGGATTCAAGGTTGATTGCATTCTGATCTTTTCAAGTAATTTTAATTTTAGGTGGACAACTCATCTTTGACCGGAGAGTCCGAACCCCAAACCCGATCCCCTGACTGCACCAACGAGAATCCCCTTGAGACCAGGTATAATTTTTGAATATTTTCAAGGAGATATTCTTGTTTTAGAAACATCGCTTTCTTCTCGACCAATGCCGTTGAAGGAACTTGCAAGGGAGTTGTCATCTACACCGGAGATCGAACTGTGATGGGACAAATCGCTCACTTGGCTTCAGGATTGGACGCTGGAATGACTCCAATTGCCCGCGAGATCGAGCACTTCATCCATTTGATCACCGGAGTCGCCGTCTTCCTTGGAGTCACTTTCTTCATCATTGCCTTCGTTCTCGGATATCACTGGCTTACCGCCGTTGTCTTCCTCATCGGTTTGAATGTTTCTTGAAGCAATGTATCATTGTCTGATTTTAGGTATCATTGTCGCCAACGTGCCCGAAGGTTTGTGACTTTTTATTAGAGATTGTTATATGATCAGGTTTTTTTCTTTTTTTTTAATAAATTCATTTTAGGTCTCATCGCCACCGTCACTGTGTGTCTCACCTTGACCGCCAAGCGAATGGCCTCAAAGAACTGCCTTGTGAAGAACTTGGAAGCTGTGGAGACTCTTGGTCAGTGGATTTTATTTATTTATTCTTTTAGAGTTCAAGAAGGGATTCTTTTTTACTAATAGAAAAATTTTAGGATCGACCTCGACCATCTGCTCTGATAAGACCGGAACCCTCACACAAAACCGAATGACTGTCGCCCACATGTGGTGAGTTTTTAGTGCAATAATTATTCAACAAAGCTTTTTGAAATGTTTAATATTGTAACTTTAGGTATGACCAAAAGATCTACGAGTGCGATACAACCGAGAATCAATCAGGAACTCAAAAGAAGAACACCGGACCCACTGCTGATGCTCTTATTCGTTGCGCCGCCCTCTGCTCACGTGCCGAGTTCAGACAAGGACAGGTAGTTTTGGCTGATCTATACGTATAATGATTTTAGTTAAGGTTGATATCCCCGTGTTGCGTCGTGAGTGCTCAGGAGACGCCTCCGAGATAGCTATTCTCAAGTTCTGTGAGCTCACACTTGGCGGCGTTGTTCCATACAGAGAGAAAGCAACCAAGATTGCTGAGATTCCTTTCAACTCCACCAACAAATATCAGGTAAATTTCTATTTGCTGTTGGTGAATTAAGATTAATTTAGGTGTCAATTCACGATCCGATCAACAGCGACAAATATCTTCTTGTGATGAAGGGAGCCCCCAGAAAGAATCCTCGATGTCTGCTCGACAATTCTCCTCAACGGACAGGAAGTCGAGCTTGATGAAAAATTGCGCAAAGAATTCAACGATGCCTATTTGGAGCTCGGAGGAATGGGAGAGCGTGTGCTTGGGTGTGTTTTTGTTTTATTTGTACAATACGGCAATGCAATAACTGGCAAATGACAAAATTAAAATTTTAGCTTCTGCGACTACGAACTTGACGGAACTACCTATCACAAGAAACCCGAAGCCTACAAATTCGACACTGAGAACGTGAACTTCCCAATTAAGGGACTCCGATTCGTCGGTTTGATGTCGATGATTGATCCTCCACGAGCTGCTGTCCCAGATGCCGTGGCCAAGTGCCGATCTGCTGGTTAGTGTTTAATTACCGTTTAGTTTTTAAAATTATTTTTAGGAATCAAAGTCGTCATGGTTACCGGAGACCACCCTATCACCGCCAAGGCAATCGCCAAGTCTGTCGGAATCATCTCTGAAGGATCTGAGACTGTCGAAGATATTGCAATTCGTCGTGGATGCAACGTTGATGATGTAAGCCTTCCAAAGATAGCACCTAAATCTTAATCTTTTAACTAATAATAAGCAAGATCTTCATAGCGAATTTCTAGGTTGATGCCCATGATGCCAAGGCTGCTGTCATCCACGGTTCTGAACTTCGTGAAATGAATGAGGAGCAATTGGCGGAAATCATCAGGAATCACTCCGAGATCGTCTTTGCCCGTACTTCTCCCCAACAAAAACTGATGATTGTCGAAGGATTCCAGAAACAAGGCCAAGTATGTCGAGAGTACGGATTGTTGAAACTTCTCTGTTTTTAGATTGTTGCTGTGACTGGAGACGGAGTCAACGATTCGCCAGCTTTGAAGAAGGCCGACATTGGAGTTGCCATGGGTATCGCTGGATCTGATGTGTCCAAACAAGCAGCCGACATGATTCTTCTCGATGACAACTTTGCCTCGATCGTCGTCGGTGTTGAGGAGGGTCGTCTCATTTTCGATAACTTGAAGGTTGGTCAAAAACTTTAATACATAATGTTATTTTGTTTAGAAATCTATTGCCTACACCCTGACCTCAAACATCCCTGAGATCTCGCCTTTCCTCACCTACATTCTCTTCGGTATCCCACTACCACTCGGAACCGTCACAATTTTGTGTATTGACTTGGGAACTGACATGGTAAGATTTAAATAATTCTTTTAGTACATATTAAATAATTAGGTCCCTGCTATCTCCCTTGCCTACGAGGAGGCTGAAGCTGATATCATGAAGCGTCAACCAAGAGACCCGCTCCACGATAAACTTGTGAATGAAAGATTGATCTCACTGGCCTATGGACAAATCGGAATGATTCAGGTTTGAAAAGGTTTTCAATTTCAATGTATTCTTTTTTTAGGCATCTGCTGGTTTCTTCACATATTTCTGGATCATGGCGGATAACGGTTTCCTTCCCAAGGACTTGTACCAACTCCGTGCTCAATGGGATTCCCGCGCGTACAACAACGTGCTCGACTCATATGGACAGGCAAAGAAGATTTCTTAAAACCCTCAATAATTGCATTTAGGAATGGACTTATGCCAACAGAAAGATTCTTGAGTACACTTGCCAGACCGCTTATTTCGTCTCGATCGTCGTTGTGCAATGGGCTGACTTGATCATCTCAAAGGTATGATAAACTCTTGTGTAGAGTAAATTATTCTTTTTAGACCCGTCGTAACTCGCTTGTCCAACAAGGAATGTCTAACTGGACTCTTAACTTCGGTCTGGTGTTCGAGACTTGCTTGGCTGCCTTCATGTGCTACTGCCCTGGACTTGACAACGGTCTTCGTATGTATGGACTCCGGTAAGTATTCAAATTGATCAGAGTCTACTAGTTTTACTACTGACTAAATAACTCATTTTCAGCTTCTCGTGGTGGTTCCCGGCACTTCCATTCGCCATTCTGATCTTCATCTATGATGAGGCTCGTCGTTACTGGTAAGTTGTGCTGTAATTACGTGTTAAACTTGTTGTTAAGTTGTTTAAAATGTATAAATGTAATTGCAATTTTAATTTTAGCATTCGCCGTTGGCCCGGAGGATGGGTGGAGCGTGAGACGTACTACTAAACCTACACGTCTCATTGCAGGGATTGCGACAAAAATATTTTTTAAGGCTACGATCCCCGTGTTTTATTCTCAACCTTGATTTCCTGTAGTATTAACCAGATTAACAGCCCTTTTCTATCTGTACTATTTCTCTAATCGCCTTAAGCACTAAAGTAATTGTATCGTTGCACTATTGTTGTCTTGATTCTTGTATTATGGCTTCATTTTTAGTGCTTCGATTATATTCTTGTAGCTTCGATTTTGGCATAAGTTTTATGTTGTAAAGCTAGTTTAACTCTTTCTCTGTGTATTATGCCTATTAGGTATTTATGACGTTCGTCTCAGCTGTTGGCTCTTTCATTTTCTGCGGCCTATGCGATAAATATAAAGATCACAGAATTGTTTCTTTTTCTAGGAAAAATGACGGAGAGAATGTTTAAGTCGCTTTCCCAGTAGACCCGTTTAAAAGCCTCTTTTTAACTTGTGCGTATTTTATCCCAAATTCTATGGCTATTTTTCTAGTGAGCGATTTGAGATGTGAAATTTGGTGAATGTTATTAGCCCGAATCGCTCGCTAGGGTCGCAGGGAACTCCAATACACAATTGAGTGAAAGAATTTGACATCCCATCGACTCTCATTATCTTTTGCTCGATTATGCATTTCGTGGGCGTTCGTCTAGATACCGAGGTTTTTAGTAATAAATATTTCAGCAACAATGTCCTATATTTGCTATGCCATATCTGTAACAACAGAGTTTAACTGGAAACAAAAACATCAAAATTTATTGTGTACTTAACCACAAACTTTACCTGCACAAATGTCGTGCCAACTTTTGTCAGCCAGATGATTTACTCATGCATTCTAATGGTTAGCTCACCGATCTGCTAAAAAATTTATTAACAGTCCACTATGCGAATAACAAAGAATAATGATGAAAGTGAAGACATTTTTAAAAAATATATGAAATATGAAAAGCACGGTACAAAGCTTGTATGATGCTGCGCATCATTCCCAAAATCCCCTTCGTTGAATGTTGCTCGAAGGGGGTACTAAAGCGGACATTTATTTTTGATTGAGGAATCAAATGAAACTTTAGATGAGAGTAATTTTTTAACTTTAAGCTTTTTTACATTCTTGAAATTTTTTTAAAAACCAACCCCATGAATCGTTGGAAGGTGGTGGGTTAAAAGACCCATTGGGGGCATTTGGCCGGCGATGCCACGGCAATCCGGCGTCTCGGTTCCAATCCACGCCCGGTGGGGGAGGATTTATTGGCCCATTAACCACCGGTATCTAAATAACAAATAAAATTTTGGAAGGAAATGACCGGAAAAATTAGTGCCTAATTTATTTTAGCTTACTTTTTTCTCAAAACAAAGATTTGAACTCACTTGAGGGTTCCAATATCGTCCCATGTTCGGCGCTGGTTCATTTGGATGAGGTCGATGAACATTTTGACGAGCCTATAAATTAAAAGAATCATCCAAAGACCTAAAGAATATTACTTCGTGTTGTAACCACGATGGCTTGACGACCGGCTTTGGCGAATTTTCGAGGTAGGTTGGACGAGCTAAACAAAAATACTTTTTTACAATTTTTGAAAACCTAAAAAATACAGCATACATTCATGGCAAATATAATCATCATACATACAACTAGCACAAAATGGTAAAATAAACAGAACATACACGAGACTTTATTGTGAGCTGGATTGGCTTTTGGTGGCACGATTTTTGATCCACCCGGCGCTGGCAAGGGTTTCTTGGCAATTTGACCGTTCTGTGGAGAAGGACTGACAATCTTCTTGATCGATTGTGCATTTGGCACTGGCGAATTAACTCTCTAAAAAGTGGCTGCTAATAATTTTAATTTGGAAAAACAAACCTCTTTTGCAATCGAAGATGTGAGGCCATTTACAATTATTGGTGGTGTTTCGACACGGGGTTTCTAATGTATGATCTGAGAAAGATCTTTCAATAAAACATTTACCTTAAGCGGGATTTGAGAAGTGGTTGGTTCTGGTGCCGTCGTTTCTTTAGTCGCTTGCAGTTCAACCTTCTCAGTGCTAGCTTGCACTTCAGGATTTTCTCGCTAATAAATCCCAAAATTTACGATTTGAATGAAAAGTTACCTTTTCAAGTTTCTTCTTTTTCTTCTCCGCGTTGTTTTCAAACTTTCGTTGATGTTGATCAGTCATTGTTTTCCCTAGTGGCTCGGCTGGCTAAAAGTATCAGTTTTCCAACTAATATCAAAAATGCTGACCTACTTTTGGTTTCGTGATCCAATTCGCAAAGGCAACCGGCACTTGGTCAGTGGTGGACAAAGGAGCAAAAGTCGGTAAAGGAGCCCTAAAATGGGTTACAAAACTTTTGTTATGTCAAAGCTCACAATTTATGCGTTGCTTGCGTTTGCTTGGGTGATTGTGAAGGAACGGTATATCCATTAGGTGATGAGTGAATTTGCGGAGAGGCCGATTTCGTTCCGTCGCTACTTCGATTTGATTGATCGTTCTAAAAGCGAATTGTCGAATGATACTCTGAAGTCCCAGGATTTTATCTCATTACAGTATGCTGGAATAGAAATTACTCAGTTTTTCCAACTATCAACTTACCGTAATGAGATAAGATACTGATACTTTATCTTTAAGTAACAAGTCCAACCTTGATCAAATTCTCCTCTTCGGTCTTTTGATCTAAATTTGTTCCGTTAGTGTTATTACAATAGTCGAATTACCCCCGGCCTCGCCAATAATCTCCGATTCTCTGCCTCATAAGTGTCTCGTTCATATTTCAGTCTTCCCTCATTTTTCTTCAATGTGGTCACAATTTGTTGGGATCCTTCTAATTCGCTGATCAACTGAAACATCTTTGATTAAAGATTCAAAACGAGCTAACTTTTCTATTCTCCGCCTCCAATTTATCGACTGTTTCGGCTTTTGTTTTTGCCTGCCTCTCGTAAAAATTCTTCAGGTTCGACGACTCGGTGCAGTGAAAACATTTTTGGTTGTTATCTAAAATATAATGAGTTAAAAAATTAAACATTAGACGTTAGTAGTATGTAAAAAAACTAACCCAAAAAGAGTTTGTCCTCCAACTTCTTTGCTACTTCTAATTTTTCCGCCGTAACAAGTGCCACTTTTCGATCACGTTCTTCCAATTCGCGATGATATCTAACATTGTGATATGGAGAAGAATGTAGACTTTCCAAACTTATTCGATTGTGCCTCAGCGTGTTGATATTTTGTTTCCATCAGCTCGAGTTGTCCCTAGAACTTTGGCGTTGAAAAAAAACGGATTTCCGAGAAAACCTTCAACTTCTTGTTATTCTTTTCAATATCTTTCAGCTTTTCTCCTTGTGCTTTCTTCACTTTATCAATCACACTTTTTATCTAAATAATATTTTTTTACAAGTTATCAATGCAAAAATTACCATATTTGCTTCGATACCCAATTCTCCGTGATATGTGCGCATTTCGTGTTTTGCCGCATCAATATCATCCCTTATTCGGCGAGTGTCTTCAATATGCTGGCGTCTGAAAAAAGTCCTAAGCCAAACTGAATAAAGATTTACTTGAGTGAATGCATCTGGGTAAGCAGCAGAGCGAGCGCATCTTTCAATCGATCCCTTTCCACTCGCATTTTCTCTTCACTTTTGCGCGCTTGACCGATTGCATGTGAAGCAACGATGAGCTGACGTGCCGACACCGCTTCCTTATTTGTTGACATTGATGGACCAGGTTCCAGTGCGCTAAATCAACTTAAGTTGTAAAAGAAAAAATTTGTGAAAAGTACCTTGTTTCTGAAGTTATTTGCTCCTCTTCTTTGGCATTTCTCTTCATCACTTCATCAATTGCGAAGCTAGTCACGTGCGCCAAATCCATGGTTTGTGTCCAGCAATGAAAACGGCGAATTGACGCATCGTTTGGTGATGAGACTCGCAGTGGAGCGTTTGAAACGCCAAATTCTTTAACTCCATCGTGCTTCAACGGTTTAGTTCTCTTTGGTGGAAGTCGTGGTGGTTTCTGAAAAAATAGAACAGCTTCACAAAGCATAAACTTTAAAAACTACAAACAATCAAAAAAATTTTGTTGCAAAAAATGTTGCAATTGTTGCAATACCGTCTTCGTCTAGGCCAATACAGAAAAACTCCAAATATTTTAGTATTGCCACCAACATCATAAAAACCAAGCAAAAAAATAATTCAGTACATAGCGCGGAATATTTTCAAGTGTATATAATATAAACGCAACAGATAATCACCTTTTCTTTTGGCAAATCCTCTCCTTGTGGCGCAAACTCTAGCACGTACGCGTATCCTTTTTGTGATTTTGGTTGCTTAGAAACTTCTGATTGAACAAATGGCTCATCTTTAGACTAAAAGTAAAATATAAATTTCCAATGTAAATTACCAAATAAAGTTTAATAAAAAGGCACCTTATTGACAGTTACATCAATCGATTCATTTGTACATTCATCAATCGGCATTTTGAGTTCATCTTGATCCTGGAGTAGAAGCGGTTTATCAGCTGATGACTAAAAAAATATGTTGAAATCTCTTAGCAAAGTAATTGTTCTAATTCAATTTGGTAAAGCCAAACTTACCTTTGGCGGAGATGCTAGTGAAATTTTAATCGGGGCTCCACGTACAGGACCTCTGTCATGGACGAGCAATGGAGAAATGCTGAAAATAGTATATTTTATTCGAAATAAACTTTCCTTTACTTCATACTATACTAAAAGTAATACTACATCCCTATAGTATTAACTTTTGCGTAATGTCGCAAAAAGCATAGAAAATACTTACATTTTCTTCGGTCTACCCCTTCGAACCGAGCCATGTTGCTCGGCTAGATGAGGAGTGACAATTTTGTTATCTAAAGCTCCTATTGGACAAGTTGACTAAAGAAGTACTTACATTCAGCAGGATCTATGTCCGGATTGAATCTGGAAAAGAACGGCAAATTTTCGAAAGTCGCATCTAAATTAAGCAAATGTAAATTTAAATTATGAAACACAATTGGAACTATCAAATGAGCATGAAAAAGCAAACCTTCATTTATAATCTCGAATTCACCATCCCTCTTTTTGGTCCAGCTATGTCCAAAAAATTTATTACACGTCTTACGGCGACATTTGAAACGGAAAATCCAATTGTTGTTTGTCTAAAAGCTATTTTGATTAAAAGAAAATAAATAAAATAAAAGTTAACTTTAATAATAGAATAATTCGATAAAAAGAGTAAAATGGCTGACCGGTGGTCGGATTCTTCTGTAATGAACCAAGTAGACTTCAACGTTGAATCCACAAATGGCGCAATGAGGGAAATGTTGGGATCTCGAGTCTAAAAAGAAATGGCGCTAGAGTAGTTGGGGGCAGTCTGGAACTTGACTCAAAATCAATATTTTTTCACAAAAACTTGCACACAACGACTTTTGACTGTGCTGAATCGATTAATAATACTTTCATAACTTTTTTTTGTTAATTAATAGCATTTTTAGTAAAAACCTCGAATACAGGCAATTTGCAGAGAAAATTAATAATTTTTTTAGTCGATAAAATTAATTAAAAAAGTTATAAAAGCATTACTAACCGATTCAGCCTAGTCAAAAACCCCTGCGTGCAAGTTTTCGTGGAAAAATATTGATTTTGGGTCAAGTTCCAGACTGGCCTCCTCCAACTACTCTAGCCACAGGAAATGATCAGCTTTGATGAAATGGTCAACGTTTTACCGATGCTTGATGTTGTCGCATTAGATGAAAGAGTGCATTGTGAGTCTTGGATGGCTGGTGGGGATCTAAAAGAAAAACATATTTAGCATATTCATAGAAACTAAGATTTTACACAAAATTTCATTAATATTCAATATATTAAAAGCAAAAAACAAACGAACTTTTCAAAACTGGACTCCGGCAAATATTCAGGGACAAACGAGGTGGTCTCACTAAAAGATAAAGATAAGGCTTTGATTTAAAGCAAAAATGATGCTTCGAAGTTGCAACTAACCTTCTACCTTCTTTCAACGATTCAGCTGTCTCTTCCTCATCCATACCTATAAAAAATAGAATTACAAAAAAATAACCAATAACAATAAAAGAATAAGTACATAGATAAGTAGTAGATCTTTTGCCTTACGGGATGGACAAGTTATAGTTTAAAATTTCGAGTGAGAGCGCAGAGAAAAGAGGGATGTGGGCTCGTTTTACTGTGCAGAGACGCAGAGGGTCACTCGGTGCATCGACCCGATTGGGGCTGTTTTATTCGCAAAGCAACGAGTTGTCGCGCCTTAAAGTTCGCTAAAGCGCCCACTTGGGGGTTATATGGGTTGAACAAATAAAATCAGTATTGTACAGCAATAGTATTGTATTTATTGAGATCTCTAACAGCGTCTATTGAGGATAAGACAAGAAAGCAAAGATTTTAGGCGCGTTTGCACACAATGCAATTACCATTGGGAATTTGCATTGGGCAATTAGCATTGGGCAATTTGAATTGGGCAATTTGCATTGGGCAATTTGAATTGGGCAATTTGCATTGGGCAATTTGCATTGGGCAATTTGCATTGGGCAATTAGCCTTGGGCAATTTGCAATGCAACCCAACTGCTTATCATCTCGACAAAGTAATTTGTCCTTCTGATAGGCTGTTTTTTGGCAGACTGAGGCTGGCACTTGTTTTTTGGTGTTCAAGATTTGACGACTTATTGCTACATTTGTAAACGATGGCAAATTTGGTAAACTACCGTAGTCTTTTCTTCAAATATTGTCTGTTTTGCTCATTTGCGGAGGAATTAAGCGGATGGGATCAAAACTAACAGCAGAACGTAGAAAATCTGAAGTAAAGGGTACGGCATCTTTTCTAAGTTATCCGTTTTTTATAAAATGACAGTGCCACGAGGAACACGCTCTAATCTCAGTAATACGGCATTTTTGGTCTCTGCCAACTCTTTTGCATTTAAAATTTTAGCTCACGCGTTCAATAGTTCGATGTTTTATTTGATGAACTTCAAAAAAAAACGAAAAAAAAGACACAATTCATTTTTGATGGTCAACGACCCATTTTTGATTATTTCAAATGATTGAAAAACTGTAAAAAGAAGATTATGCACCCAAAATATTATACATTTAAGTAAAAAAAACACCAAAAATGTTCGAATCACAAAGTAATAAAGTTTCAAGAAATTTACAGTATGAAAAGCACCAGAGGTCGAACCTTTACGCGACTTGGAGATTTATATGCAAAATAAGAATTGCCTGAATATCATAAGAGTAAAGCTAGGTGAAACAAAGTATATAACTCAAGAATTCTCATGAAAAGTCGTCCTCACTGGGTGAATGTAGTGGAAATCGCGAACGAAATTCTTTAAATTGTTCGGCAACGGCAACTTGGATACCTAGAAAAAGGTGTTTGAATGGAAGATTGGGAATAACAGATGACGGGTGACGCGCCAACATCGTTTTCAAAATTCAACAATCAATTCAAGTTTTCGTTCGAGGTACTGTACCTCTCAAGGTACTTCGAGGGATTGTATTCTATTATACAATACCTCTATTAATTCGTTTTTAAAGCGTGTCAACAAATCACTATGCTAGAAAGAGTATTACTGAGAACAGCGCTGAATATCTTTAGTTTCATTTGATTGGGAACCGAATTGCGGCCAGAGCTTGTCCAAAACCGTAAACATTAAAAAAACAGTCTGAACTTTAGCAAGTATTATCTTCTTGTTAGCTGTAGCCACAGTAATTCCGTAAACTACAGTACTTATAGTCAATACTATTGGATTGGTGAATTGAAAACTGCGGGACTTTGAACTAAAATTGAGTCAACATAAAATCATAAATTCATTCGAAATAATTTCCATTATTATTGACGACTTCTGCCCATTTTACAGGCAATTTGCGGATTCCTCTTTCGTGGTAGGATTTTGGTTTTGAATCGAAAAACTTTCAAAGCCAATTTTTGACTGCTTCTTCCGAATCGAAGTGTTCTCCCGCAAGCCAATTACTCATGATTCAGAATAAATAGTAATCAAAAGGGGCGAGTTCCGGACTGTATGGGGAATGTGCCAAAAGTTCCCAAACAAGGCTATTTATTTTAGAGCGAGTCAGCTTTGCAACATGAGGGCGCGCGTTGTCGTGGATGAGAACGATCTTTGACTTGGAGGGCCTATTCTTCTTCAGGGATTCATTCACCTTTCCCAACTGTTCACTGTATTTGATCGCATTAACGGTCGTCTTGCTATCCAGCAACTCCCAGTACACCACTCCCTCCATATCCCAGAAAACGCAGAGCATAAACTTTTTTGGTGCAAATCGGGCTTAGAGTCACTTTCGGGTTTCTCGCCTGACCCCACCCATTGCCACTTCCACCGAAAGTTCACCATTTCTCATCTCCTATCACAATTCGAGGAAGAAAGGATTTCCTTTCGTATCCTGAGAGATGAGCGGCACTGATCGAGGCGCGCTGCCACTTCTGGGGGTTATTGAGGTCATGGGGCACCTAAGCCCCAAGTTTTAATTTAAATCCAAGGGTATGAAGGTGCCTTAGCACTGTAGCATGATCAACCGCTTACTCTTCTCCCAATTCACGCAATGATACCCGATGGTCGTTGGTCATGAGTTCGAGTAATTTGGAATCATCCAGTTGGGGTGCCGCTCCACGGCCCTCTGCATCTTTCAAAGATTTGTCCCCAGATCGAAACTTGGCAAACCATACTCGACACGTTCTTTCGGTAGCTGAGTCCTCCCCATATATCTTTTTAATATTAGCAGCTGCCAAGCCTGCTCTTGTAGGAACTCATGAAACATGACATGACGAATATGTCCCGGTGGCAGAGTCCTCCCCATATATCTTTTTAATATTAGCAGCTGCCAATATTAAAGCTGGTTCAATGCTGTTGTTTTTTTTGCAATAGAAGAAGTGAAGAAAAATGCGAAAAAATAAAAAGCTGGAAGCATAATTTTTTCGCAATAATTTGAGGAAATGTTGAAGTAACCAAACCCCATTTCAGCTCGTTCAATGCTGTTGTTTTTTTATCTGAGTCCCGCGAAAAAGCCCGCACTTTTCAATTCATCAACCCAATAGCTGTACATAACGACAATTGACTGTGATTATAAATTACTTCCATAGAGAAAACTGATAATATTGATTTGATTTCTGTATCAAAGTTCGTTTTTGCTTTTTGTTTTTCTGATAGGTTTATTTTTTTTGAACTCGTTCCGCTCAATCGTTACCTGATCATACGGACAATGAGAAGAGATCGTTGCACGACAGATTTCCTGCAGAGAGAACACATGATCTCTTTTCAATGGAGTCGTTAATAAAGGTTCAAAAAAGAGACATCTGAAAAAAAGAGGAATAAAAATGGTTTTGATTTTTGCGAAAACCGTGTCGGATCCTTGTAGTTGTCGATCAATTTGGTGACTCGATCTGATGAGAAAACGGATGGATCGTGGATATCAAAACCGAAACGATGGTTTTCCTGGAATTTCAGCCTCAGCTAGATTTTGTAATTGTTAGTAAGCTTTCTTAATTGAATGTTTTCAAAAAAAAAGCAGAAAAGCTGTCGTAATTCGAGGCTACTACTGAAATTCTACACTTTCATTAAATTTTACACTTTCAATTAAAAAAAGAGAATGCTTGCTTAGATCTTTTCCATTATGCTAAACTGAAAATGTCCTGCTACCTGCTCAATCCTTGCATGCAAAGTACGTTGGTAACGTCGGAAAGAAACGCTGAATAGGTAAGCCGTTTGGGCGCTGTCTCGAAGAAGGAAAGTGCCTGAGAGTTAAAAGTATAGCTTAGCTTCAGAAAATATAATTACAGCAACTTTATAATTCGAATAATAAGTACGAACCTTCAGGTTTCCCTTCAAGCAATCGTTCAGCCTCAAATCTGTCCATGATTCCCCAATAATACGACGCACTCAGCACTTTCTCCATGTCTTTCACGAAGAAATTCGCGTACTCAACAGTTCGATGAACGATTGGTTGCTCTTCTAAAAGAATCAAGATATTTATTAGATTAAATTTCAACAACAGCTCAAGTAAATGAATATTGAGCTTCTATAGTGACTTTTCTATTTCTACATGTAAGTTAGGTAATCATTTTATTGTACTAAGCGAATGAGAAAGTAGTTAAGTAAGTTATACGGTAGCTTAGGCTTTTTAAAAAAAAGAAACCTTTTACCATACCTCTTAAACTGCGTCGATATTCAGTGGGATGTCGAGTTGAGTCGGCGCGAAGGGCGAATTGTTGCCGCATCTCCCGACTGATCGACAGCATCGAGAAAGCATCTCTGTAATCAAATAAACATAAATAATAAATAAATGAACAAATCAATCAAATGCATAAACGCTAATAAAGGATTTGATTGGATAAACTGTAACTAGATCAGAGAAAAGGGATTTAATTTCTACCTTTCCTCTTCCTCGTCCGAATCTTCACTAACCATCGGCGAGAAACACGGGCAGAACAGTGAGCTTTTCGGCATTCTGTTGTTAGTTCTAAATAAGAAAAAAAAAATTCTAGATAAGGTTTCTGTTTTAAGAGCCGAAAATGTTTTTAAACGTGAAATTTTGTTAGGAAAAACACGCACCCAGCATTCGTACTCGTCACGGGGCATTGCAAAGAGGGCTCTTCTAAAAAAAATGATTTAATAACGCTAAATAAATATAAAAATAATACCGTAATATTAATTTTAAGAAATTTTTAAAAATCTATTCCTGAATTTTAAGAATTACTTCTTGAGTTATTTATGAAGAAGTTGCAAAAGCAAAAAGCAAAAAGCAAAAAAGCAAAAAAAGCAAAAAGCAAAAAAGCAAATCAAGAAAAGATGATGAAAAAGAATTAAAATCAATTTCTCAATCTCTACAAAGGTTTCATGATTCACAATGGTCAAACTGAGGGGATCATATTTTTTTTATTGAATGGGAGTGAAAAAAAGAAATAGAAAGAACAGAGAAAATACACAAATCGATCGATTACAGGGATTCAGATGGGGAAAATTATCGCTGAGAAAAATTTCTTGCTCTAATATTTTTCGTTTTCGATTTGAAATAAAACGGGAAAAGAAAATGTGAGAAAAAGATTCATAAGCTGAAAAAAAGAAATGGGAAATGGGGAGAGGGGGCTGATAAAGAAATTCTGTAAAGGGATCCAAAAGAAAAGAAAAAGTTAATGATACTTTATAGATTTTACAATTATTTTTACAAAGTATTGTACTTATACAACCGTGATCATGTTTTCTAAAACGTGACAACATACTACCGTAATTTTGACTCTACTTTTATCTAATCTACCGTATTTTCTCTAATAGTAGTGCACCCTGAGCGTTGCCTAAATTGCTCGAAATCTCGAGAACCGCTTATCAGAACCTATTGATGTGGGGTCGGAAAATGTAGCTGACGATGAGATCTAGTGGGGGATTAGAGTGTTGGACTTCTGCAAAAGCTTGGAAACCGTAAAATAGTCACCAACTCGGCTCGCCGGGGTGCACTACTATTAGAGAAAATACGGTATCTACTTTTTGTTCTGCAGGGAAAAAGAATATCAAGAAATAGATTGATTAGATGAAAACTAGAGACATGATTATTGTAGTTTTTGAAAGTTGATACATTTTAGAAAACCCGTTAGAGAAAACATTTTCATTCTTAAAGCTATTATATTTCTAATTTCTTTAGCTACAATAGACTTATTATATTCAACTTTTATAAGAATTTTTCTTTAACTCAAATACTCACCAATATCACTTCTAGTCGATTCTTGATTATTTAAATCCGAATCAGACTCTTCGTTTTCATTTGGTTGAGAGCTAAATGTGTTTCAATTATATTAAACAATAAATAAAAATAATTTAAAAGAGATGCGCTTCAATTTCGAGCACAAACTACAAAGAATTTAATGGTCAACACAAACGTCGATGTCTCTCCAAAAAGAAAATGTCCCATTCGTGAAGAAACTGATGTGATGATCCCTTTCAACGACGCTTCTAAACGAATTTTATTATTAATTTGAAATTCAAACAAACTCTTTCTCGTAGTTCGACTTTTTCTGAGAGACTTGTGTAGATCATATTGCCGACGACAAGGAAAATCAGTGACAAAGAGATCGCAATCACTACTCCCGCCGATGCCTTGATGATCAGAGCTCCGTAATCGGTTCGAGTCTAGATTTTGATTGAGTTATTATTCTCAAAAAATACCTGACCATAGACTTATTTGACAATTAACTTATTATCCGCTTTCTCAACCTAAAGCTGCTTAAGGATCTATTCGTCTATTTATCTATTTATCTATTCATCTATTCATCTATCCATCTATTCGTCTATTCATCTATTTATCTATTTATCTATTTATCTATTTATCTATTCATCTATTCGACTCTAGCACGTTTGAACCATAATCTATCGTAAAATGAAAGCAAACAGTGTGCCAAAAAGCTTGTTTTTTGTAAGAGCACAAAGTACACGGGCTGGATATGGCCGATGGCTAATGGCCAACTTGCAATTGTCTGTATCTGGGATGCAGATATTCTATGGTAATTGCATCCAGAAAACTTAAAACCTATTCTTAGTGTTATTCAAACTTCATTTTCATTTTCATTTTCCTATTCTCATTTTTCTTACTTGATCCTCGATCATCTTCCTCTAGAATTAGTAAATTTTCCGTCGAAGCAATTACCACTGATCGGGGTGCATACGAACTTGGTTGTGGCTCTATCTAAACAGTTTTTTTTAGCTGAATATCTTATTCCTTATGATATTTATTAGAAAATATCTATAGAATGTTTTATGTTTTATTAGATTTTATGTTTTATGTTTTATGTTTTATTAGCTTATGGGTTCATTAGCTCTTTCCCGGTACTTCTCTCACAATTTTCATTTTGATCCAAAGAGTTTAGCACTTTAGCTTCTTCATTAAAAATGTTTCCTTAAATCTTAGCTTTTGTTAATATTCAAATTTGATTAAATTATCTTAGAGCATGACTCAATTTTTCGCTTTCTTTCCATTTTTACCTGTTGCGGGTGGCTCCAATTCCGGGGAAAAGTCGGGTTCATACCATTCGAAATCCGGTGACCATCATTGATTGAATATTTTTAGAAAAATATAATCTAAAATCAATTGACAATAGTAAATAAATGGAAGATTTATAATATTTGTTAAGTGAATCGATAGGGGGCCCTCTCTTGGTCAGCCTTTCCTTTTCCCTTTTCAAGTTCATCCAAGTAAACAAAGAGAAACGGAATTTGTCATCGGAAGTAGTCTTTTTCAAAGAAAAGTTTATTCGTTTAAAATTGCTTTACATTTCTATGCTTTACATTTACTTTATTTAATTTTTCACATATTACAGAAATGAGACCAAGCCAACAAAGCTCGCGTCCATCCATCCAGCCGGGAGGAGCTCAGACTGGGAGTCGACCACCACAGAACAGGTTAGATATGAGAAAATTATATATGTTGTGTCCGATTTAGATTTCCGTCCGATTTAGATTCAATCTAAATCGGACGTCTTATATAGATTGAACAATAATATAAACATGCTTAATATATGTTCTTAAGCGTTTTCTGTAGTTTTCTGCATTTTTCAAAGGTCTTTTATTGATTATTTCATAGCTGGGTTTTCTTTTCAGAAAAAGACAGTAACAGACCTTTGAAAAATGCAGAAAACTACAGAAAACGCTTAAGAACATATATTAAGCATGTTTATATTATTGTTCAATCCATATAAGATTTAGATTGAATCTAAATCGGATGTCCGATATAGACTGTAATATAAATCGGATGTCCGATATAGACTGTAATCTAAGTTGGATGTCCGATACAGACTGTAATCTAAGTCGGACGTCCGCGATAAGTTCAATCTAAATCGGACGGAAATCTAAATCGGACACAACATATATTTAGATATCTAAATATCCATAAGAAACTCTTTATCTGGTATAAAAACTTGATTTGCATTTCATTTTAACTTCTAATCGTTAGATATCATAGCATAGACCTTAAAGAAAAGTTTGCCTATCATTTGGACGCTAAGCATTCTACAATTACTGTAGAATAAGCACATTCTACAATTACTGTAGATACTAAGTCTTTTTTTAGATTATCTATATCTGTATGAATTTTGCAGAAATGCTGACTTCATCTGTACGTTGAAGTACTCGAATGCGTTGCCCGATTTGCCGTTTAGCGGGAAATTCCTTCCGTGTCCTTTCGTTTCACTCGATCGGTGAGGAATCGTGGAAATTTAGAAATAACTAGAACAAATTTCTTGCTGAACTTTCAACTTTCAAATCTTTACTTACAGATTCGTCGAGTATAAAGCGACCCAATTGGAGAAAGAGCATCGCTTCGAGGTGCAATCAGAAGCGGATGTTGGAGTGAAAATTGATTTGATCGATCCACTCACGTACTCGATTCCCGTCAGACCATTGGAGGTGTGGTATTTTAAATAAATAAAAAAAATCAATAGGTAAGTTTTGAATTAGAAACCTTACCTATTGATTTTTCGAAAGTGGTGCCATGGATGAGAAAGCCGAAAGTCAAAAGTCAAAAGTCGAAAGCCGAAAGTCGAAAGCCGAAAGTCGAAAGTCAAAAGTCAAAAGTCGAAAGCCGAAAGCCGAAAGTCAAAAGCCGAAAGTCAAAAGCCGAAAGTCAAAAGTCAAAAGCCAAAAGAACGAAAGTCAAAAGTCTCCACACTAAACCTATTCCTCAATTGATCAGCTCAAAATTTTGTGCGAAAAACTTATGCATTTGAAGTATGCAAATAGAATTACTCACTAGAATAATCTTTTGAAAGTCAGTTTGAGAAAGAAAGTCTTTTTTTCTTTCAGTTAAATCAAACGGACGCAATTCTCGTCTCCGATGAAACATCAGGAGCTTTGAATAATTCACGGTAGAAGTTCTCGGCAGAAGCAAAGCAAAAGAAATCCTTATTTTATAGATCTCTTCAACACTCGAAAGTGGTGCCATGGATGAGAAAGACTGAGTATATCTCATCCGAATTCAATAGGTGAACAAATTTTTCTTTATGAATTTACTTGTTAAAACAATTATAACTGAATTATGATTGGATTAGAAAAAAAAGGCATTTGTTGGAGTTGTTAAGTAGAGATGTTTCAGATTTGGTGTCACAGCGAATCGTCAAGAAACTCGCGTTGGTTACAAGATGCAAAAAAACAAAAAAGACGAGCTAACCTATCAAGATCGACAATCAAAAGTTGATGCGATTGCGAAGACATTTGTTGACGTAAGGAAATTAAATTCTATTTTTATGGAATGATTTTGAATTCAGGTCAAAAAGAAGGTCACCAAGCATTACAACAAGAAAGATGTGTATGCAGTGGAAGAGCTTCCATTGTTGCCCGATGTTGAGGTGAGGTTTTTGAAAGCTTATTGGTGGATCCACCATTGCTTATTGCTTATTGGATCCACCATTGGTAGATCTACAATTTGCGACTAATTCAAGTATTTATAGCATCAAATTTCAGCTCTGGAAGTACTCATTTGCTTTGGTGCAATTCGACGCGGATCCAAGTCCATCGGGTGTCAACGAGACGATGAAAAAGACCGTGATGGGACAAGGACAGATACGGTAAGTTGTCTAGTTTTAGAAAATAAAAGAAAACTTGGATAAATCTATAAATCTTGAAATTCAAGACTTTTCCTTGAGGTGAAGTTTCTAAAACAAGTACAATCAGTAAACTTTGGCGAAAAGGGAAAGGATAATAAGGGAAAAGATAATAAGGGAAAAGGATAATAAGGGAAAAGGATAATAAGGGAAAAGGATAATAAGGGAAAAGATAATAAGGGAAAAGATAATAAGGGAAAAGATAATAAGGGAAAAGAGTTAATTCTAACATTTAATATGTAAATTTGTATCCTAAAAATAACTTTTTCCTTATTTCAGCGGTATGCAAGACGCGTCTGGCGAGCAATTCGTCACTTATTTCTGCCCTAACGACGAGACATTGCAAAAGAGATACGATGATAAGGAAAAGAAAAGATTATACGATCCAGAAATGATGTAAGTTGTTAGATAAAGGCTTTAAAATCTATTTATCTTTATAAGCAAAACTTTTTAGTTACGAGTATCCACAGTGTCGCGAGTACACATGGAACGTTCGAAACAAGGGAACGAAAGGGTTCATTCAAGTGGGATTCAATAATTAATAGCGTAAATACTGTAATAGTACCCGACCCCCATAATGACGGTGCGAAGCGTTGCGTAGACTAGCTTTGAACGCGCTTTTCTCGACACTGGTTTATGCTACAATGCGCGCTTAGGTATCAAAAAATTGCTGAAATTCAGAGCTATTTTTTGATACCAAAGACGCATTTTTTGAAAGTACGGGCGCTTTGAAAAAAAATGAAATACTAAAAAACTTTTGCGACTACGCGACTGTACGTGGGGGGGGTGGGGTACTATTACAGTATTTACGGTAGTTACCGTAATACAGGTGCCACGGTAGTTTATTGAGATAGAGTATTTGAATATTTTCTTTAAAATTTCAGGACAGTTATTTCTTCTCTTTCCGCGATGAGGGAATCTACTACAACGAGCTGGGCACGAGCGTGAAATTGACGCGAAGAAAGCACACAATGCACAAGGTACAGTAATTAAAAAGAATATTATATTCATTTATATTATATTGATAGGTAGACACGTATGCAAATAGCTTAAGAATTATTTAAAGATTTGAAATAAGCTATTTTAGAGAGCTGTGCTTGCGTTGACTCATTGTGAACCATCTGAGGACGAGGTGCTGCAATTGGATCAACGGGTGAGTGTAAGAGAGATAAAAATATGATTGAAAGATATTTATTTCACATATTACTGTACCTTTTTAGTTGATATTGAACATTTGAAAAGTAGGTTACTGTATCTTTTCTAGCTGGCGACTTTACTGCAACGAGGAGTAGAAGAAGATGAAGCGGACGGAGAAGAGAGTGACGGAAATGAATCGGATGAGGAGAAATCGGATGAAGAAGATGATGATGAGGAGAAGGATGAGGAGAAGAATGAGGAGAGTGAAAAGGAGAGTGAAAAGGAGGAGACACCGCCGAGAAGAGGAGGAGCATCGGCTGAGATTGTTTCGAAGAATGGTGGGTGAAATGTGAATAGATTTCTAAAGTGTGCAAACTTTCGAAAACTCTCGTTACCTAGCCTCATTTTTATTCAATTTTGTCTCTTTTGGTATTAAACTATCAGAGAATCAGCTTAAAATTATAGATTAAAAACGAGAGAGAAAGATTACCGTAAATACTGTAATAGTACCCCACCGCCCCTCGTACAGTCGCGTAGTCGCAAAAGTTTTTTTAGCATTTCATTTTTTTCAAAGCACCCGTACTTTCAAACAAAGCGTCTTTGGTATCAAAAAATAGCTGAAATTCAGGGCTATTTTTTGCTCCTTAAGCGCGCATTGTAGCATAAACCAGTGTCGAGAAAAACTCGTTCAAAGCTAGACTACGCAACACTCCGCACCGTCATTATGGGGGTGGGGTACTATTACAGTATTTACGCTAGGATATTTTTCAAAAGCTGATACATTTTTAGAAGATGAATTGGTAAAGAAATAGATATTTTAGTGGAAAAGAAGATAGAAAATGTTTAAATGAAGTTATAGTTACGATTTTCAAAGTTTAGCTCAAAGAAAACAATTGAAATTTGAACAATTTCCAGAATCAAGTACCGATGACGATGACTCTGATTGATTCATCAACGACAGAAATCTCTATTTTATATGTTTTCCCTATTTTGGTCTCAAAATTCGACACTATTTTCGATGCTAATTTATCTAATCACCTTATTGTACTTATTTCTTTCTTTTTCGTTCCCTTTTTTGTCCCATGTTCAGGAAAAATTTATTTCATTTGAAAATCCATCAACAATAGCACAATGGAAAATGTGTGTAACCCGTATTAATCAAGAAATAAATCGAGAAATAAATCAAGAAATAAATCGCAAACTTTGAACTGAATTTGATATGGAGATAAAAACTAAAAGCTCTAAACTTTCAAAACAAAAATCGTAATGGAAATCAATTTCAATAAATAATTTCTTACCTCTTTACTATTCTTATTCTCAACTTCTTTCAATATCGGTTGTATATAAGAATTTTTGGGAATCGATTGCGATTGAATCGATCGAATCGATTGAATCGATTGAATAGATTGAATCGATTGAATCGTTTGAATGCGATTGAATCGATTGAATCGATTGAATAGATTGAATAGATTGCTATTGAATCGATTGAATCGATTGAATCGTTTGAATCGATTGAATCGATTGAATAGATTGAATAGATTGCTATTGAATAGATTGCTATTGAATCGATTGAATCGATTGAATCGATTGAATCGTTTGAATCGTTTGAATCGATTGAATCGATTGAATAGATTGAATAGATTGCTATTGAATCGATTGAATCGATTGAATCGTTTGAATCGATTGAATCGATTGAATAGATTGAATAGATTGCTATTGAATAGTTGCATTGAATCGATTGAATCGATTGAATCGTTTGAATCGTTTGAATCGTTTGAATCGATTGAATCGATTGAATAGATTGAATAGATTGAATCGATTGAATCGATTGAATCGTTTGAATCGATTGAATCGTTTGAATCGATTGAATCGTTTGAATCGATTGAATCGTTTGAATAGATTGAATAGATTGAATCGATTGAATCGATTGAATAGATTGAATAGATTGAATCGTTTGAATCGATTGAATCGATTGAATCGCAATCATGCAATTGAACCGATTGAATCGATTGCTATTGAATCGATTGAATGCGATTGAATGCGATTGAATCGATTGCTTGAAATTCTTGGTTACATATGGAGATGAGACGACACAAGGTATCACAATGATTTCTGTACAAAATTTAACATGAAAATCCAAGATTTCGATTTGTTTTCAATCAAAATTGGAGATGGACAAAGAGAATGAACAAAATTTTAATTGTAAATCTGGATAAGCTTTGTTTGCTCAAATCGGTAAAATCAAAAAAGTTTATCAAAGAACCAAGACTGAAATACTTGCAAGTATTTGATAGCTATTTGATGAATCATTAATTTTTACGTCAAACAAGTTCTCCTAAAATGTTTTTTATAGTTTTCAACTATAAAAACTCAAAAGCATTATTGTCTTGTTGTGGATTTATCGATTCAAAATTGTTATGTAGCTTTGTGGGAAGGGTGTTCGGTCGACGACGGCGCGCAGGGACCACGAATTCAGGGTTCATTTCATTCGCTTGAACATTTGTCGATGAAAACCTATTGAAACCAAATGAAGTCTCCGGGAAACTGAAAATAAAAGATTTCAACTTTTGAAAACAAAAGTTTGACTCACTTGCTCAATGGATCCTGGAATTGCTCGATCTGCTGTCCACAGATCTGTTGTCCACAGCTCTGCTGTCCACAGCTCTGCTGCTCACTCGAATCCACAGTTATTAGAGTATCCTGATTGATCATTTCAATATAAAGCATCATCTTTTTTGTTTTACCTCTTTACCATTCTCATTCCCAACTTCTTCCAATATCGGTTGTATGTAGGAGTTCTTGGGAATCGATTGCGCGAAATTCTTGATTACATATGGAGATGAGACGACACAAGTGAACTCATCAGTATCGATCCCGAAACTCTCATTCATGTGAAGCATTTCTTTTGACGAGCTCGGTGAGTTGAGACCAGTTGTTACCTAGGTTTTGGAAATGGTTTTGGAAAGAGATAAAGTCTGCATCAAGATTTACAAGTATCTATTCGGTTGAGTCTTTCATTCAAATTCATTTTCTAATTCAATAAGTCTCTACCAAATAAAACACGGCTTAGATAACCCAATAATTTCTCTTGCAAATGGCTTTTAAAAGCTTTATTTTGAAAGTTTTTCATTAACAAGAAGTCGAGTGTTCAAAACCGATGGTTCAATGATGCGATTTGAACCGTTTCTTTCAATGAAACCTACAAAAACATACCGTAAATACTGTAATAGTACCCCACCGCCCCTCGTACAGTCGCGTAGTCGCAAAAGTTTTTTAGTATTTCATTTTTTGCAAAGCACCCGTACTTTCAAACAAAGCGTCTTTGGTATCAAAAAATAGCTGAAATTCAGGGCTATTTTTTGATACCTAAGCGCGCATTGTAGCATAAACCAGTGTCGAGAAAAGCGTGTCCAAAGCTAGACTACGCAACACTCCACACCGTCATTATGGGGTGGGTTACTATTACAGTATTTACGGTAATCTAATTACATTATTAAAGCTTTAAATTTTCTTGTAAAGATTATCTATTCGATTCTTTAACTTCTCTACCGTAATTTCAGATCTTGGTGTCTCGACACAGGGTGTTTGTTGGGCTGTCGACGGCATTGATAGATTTTTATCGGGAATCGGTTGTGATCGAATGATCGGATCGTCGGCCAACTTTTGCAACCAATGAATGATTGTGGTGAAGGTGGGACGGGTTTCCACTCTCGTTTTCCAACATTGCAACATGATTTGATGGATCTGAATCAAATTTTCACAGGTTTTTGACGAAAAAAAAAACCTGAGATGGAGTGCCAATTGGCGGTTCGAGTCGTCCACCCTTTGAAATCAAATCAAGGACCTCCATGTTGTTTCGGCCTGGATATGGCATGTAGCCAAGAGAGAACACTTCCCACGTTAAAATCTAAATTTATGCACTAGCTACCGTCATCTTTCCTTCTTATTTTCTCCGTTTTAATTAATTTTGATTGTATTAAGTACTTGCAAAAAAAACGATCATACAACAACTGTAAGTAAAAATGATCTAGATTGATTAGTGGAAGCCATTATATCTTTTCTTTCTTTCTTTCTTTCTTTCTTTCTTTCTTTTCTTTTCTTTTCTTTTCTTTTCTTTTCCTTTTCTTTTCTTTTTCTTTTCTTTTCTTTTTCTTTTCTTTTTAACAATATAAAAAGAATTCTACAATGATTACTTCTGAATGGAATATAGACGTTTCAAAAACGCATCAAAAAACGAATTACAATGATTACTTCTGAACGAAATATAGACGTTTCAAAAACGCATCAAAAAACGACTTAGTGGCGGCTTAAACTTATAACAAAGGATTATTTTTGGCCTAAATTGTTGACAAATCAAAAGTCCAATCTTAATAAAAGCAATTTACAAAAAACTAAAACAAATTTGGTGAACTATTCGATTATAAAAATTCATTTGAAGAGTGATTATTTGAAGAAAGAATCAAGAACAAGACAATAATGCTCAAAAAAGGTCAAAATTCGGTTTTTAAGCTTATTTTCAAAAATTGTCTCAACAAAAAGTAGGCAACGAACAAATCTAATTTCTATATTATTTGTTTTAGTTAGTAAACTTCTTTCATTTCATATTATTTATAAAATATTGATTGAAAAACCGTAGAGAAATCTCTTGAGTTGAAATTCGGCATTTTTGATGGTTGAAAATTCGACTACCTTTTACCCCATCAGATTGAAAAGCCGTAGAGAAATCTTGAGTTGAAATTCGACCTGATCCTGACCCCATCAGATTGAAAAGCCGTAGAGAAATCTTGAGTTGAAATTCGATCTGATCCTGACCCCATCAGATTGAAAAGCCGTAGAGAAATCTTGAGTTGAAATTCGATCTGATCCTGACCCCATCAGATTGAAAAGCCGTAGAGAAATCTTGAGTTGAAATTCGACCTGATCCTGACCCCATCAGATTGAAAAGCCGTAGAGAAATCTTGAGTTGAAATTCGATCTGATCCTGACCCCATCAGATTATTTTTTGTTTCGGTCGTTGAAGAGTTTTCTTATGGGAGAAAAGTTCGAGAATCATGCACAGGTCAAAAAAGCAGTCGTTCCAAAAGCCAGCGTTCCAAAAGGAAGCTTCGTAAAAAGCTTTATATATTTTTATATATAAAGCTTATTTCTTTATATATTTCTTTTATATAAAGCTTATTTCTTTATATTTTATATATTAAAATAAAAAGAGAAGATATTAATCAGTCGCGGATTATCATCGGAATCATATAATGGCTTTGGCCAGCAATTTCTTTTGCAAGTAGTCTAATATTCAGTTTGATTCAATGAGATAATAAATAAGTAAAATAAGACAAAATCTAAAGACAGATTACGGTATCTTTACAAGATAAAACTTTTAGAAAAGAGGTACAATGTGAATTGGTACTTTTTGTAGATTTTACTTTGATCTGTGCCGATCTTTAATGGGTTAATGTACAAGCTAAAAGCTATTCCATTTACTTATTAGCATTTCTTTTAAGATATTCTCAAATTAAGCTCGTATTATCAACACTCCAACATACCCCAAACGACCAGACATCGGTTTTTGTGGTGAAATAACCGTCCAATAGAGCTTCAGGCGGCATCCATTTCACTGGCAACAATGCTCGACCACCCTTTCGATAGTAATCGGTTCTAGAAAAATCGTGTTCGAATCATTTCATTGTCTTTTTTTTAAAATTTTCAATTAGCTCACCTGTACACATCCCTAGCCATTCCAAAATCCCCAATTTTCACGACTCGATCATGGGCTTGTGAGGTGAGGAGACAATTTCGGGCAGCTAAAAAGCCGGGAGAAGTTTAAAATCAAAATCCTATCTTTAAGTGGTCCATTGCTTTTTTCACAAACCGATATCCCTGTGAATGAATTTGTTGGCGGCAAGGAATTCACATCCTTTTGCCACATCGAGACACATCGACACAAGATCCAACATGAGGAGATTGTTCGGATTTGGATCGATCTGAGACTTTTGCTTGTAGAATTTGATTTCAAAACAAAACCGGTTTCTAGAATGTGAATACATCTATTCCATTGCTCTAGTTCTACTAATCAATCGTCAAAACTTCACTCAAAATTCCCTTTTCAAATCCATCTCACCGAGCCACTAAAAAGTTACCTAACTCTGGCAGCCTAAAAATTGGAAAAATGTTGAGGAAATCGGTGCGCGTTCATTCTATTTCGCGCCCCAAATCATTTATTGTTTTGTAGCTTTTTAGCTGAGTATCTTGTGTTAAAGCCTATATAAAGCAACTGTTGTTCATTTTGTTTTTGGTTATCTGGGGGTGGGACAAATGCGACCTTTTTTTGCGCACCTGGACATTTGCGCACCTTTTTTTTTGCTGGAAAAGGCCTTAGGCAAGGCCGTAGAGCTTCAAAAATGTTTTCATAGAAGGGAATCGTATGCGTAGATTCCGAATTTCGACAAATCAGACCTCGCTGACACGTCAAATTTGGGTTAAAAGGCAAAAACTACGCAACTTAACGCTTTTCCGCAGTTTTTGCCTTTTAGCCCAAATTTGACGTGTCAGCGAGGTTCGATTTGTCGAAATTCGGAATCTACGCATACGATTCCCTTCTATGAAAATATTTTCGAAGCTCTACGGCCTTGCCTAAGGCCTTTTCCAGCAAAAAAAAGGTGCGCAAATGTCCAGGTGCGCAAAAAAAAGGTCGCATTTGTCCCACCCCCGGTTATCTTTCATTTTCTTTCTGCTTTCCTCTCATTGTATAAAAGTTGTGTCCTAATTAGGATGAAATTGTTTCTGTTTTTTATCGTTGCTTTTAATTCAATTGTCGATCTTGTGTGAAAATTGCTCAAGTGAGAGCCCAAAGATTCCGAGTCAGTCGGCTATTGAATAAAGTGTTTTTAGTTCAAGTGAGATCAGATGTCTCGAAACAAGAAATGTGAAGAGTGAAGGGTACCAAGCACGCGAACAATATTTCTTTACACTCACCTTCGTGGATCTTGATGTCCTCAAAAAGCTCTTCAAATCTCCGCCCTTCATCAATTCTAACACAATATATCTCGGCGTTACATCGAAATTAATCCCGAAAAATGAGACAATGTTATCGTGACGGAATTTACTAAAAATTTTGTTTTTAATTTTGTTCAAAATTTCTTTGTAAACTTCATGATTTGTGCCTCCATAAAAAACTCGTCTTGCGCCTGTTTACTGCTGCTGAATGGGAGGGTTTTCACGGCCACCTTGAAAAGAAAGATTCTTTCTTTTGAGAAAGCTAAGTTTATCTAATCTAATACGAGAATCTTCTCTATATTTTCTAACCTCAATTGTCGTCTGGTCGCGTCGCATTTTCGCTTTGAACACCTCGCCGAAAGCGCCGACTCCGAGGGGTCTAAAAGTGGGATATGAAAATATTTACAAAGAGATTTTTCTAGATCAGGCACTGGTATCTGATCAACAAAAGTTTTAGTCAAATTAGTCAGGCTTCAAAACTCCAAATGTCTTCCAAAGGGGCCCCTTGAGAGACCCAGAATAAAGCTTTTTTTTCGGCCACCTGCCGTGGAGCGCCTGTAACCCAACTTCCTGGTCGCTCGTTCGTTCGATGGGAGTAACTAAACCCTCGACGAGAATCCACTTGGGATCTCTAGAGCCAGGTTTAAACCAGGTCTAGTCTAGTCTAGCCTGAGTCTAGCCTACTCTCTTTTAAATTCCCTCATTTGGGAAAACCCTTAGTAAATTCTCTAAACGATTGCTGTATAACAATAAATTCTCGACTTACTCAAGTAGAAGAAGGTTGCTCCTCTCGATTTTTGGCAACTCTTCAATTTGCTCGAGTAAAAAGCGCAACGCGTTGTTATCATCGTTGCTCAGGCGCTGAATTTGCAAATGTTGATTGTTAAGTTCAAAATTTTTGACAGTTTTTTTGTTTTTTGACAAAATTTAATAAAAACCAAGCGTGAAACAGGCGACAAAACACGTTTTAATCGAAAATCTATATGCCAAAAGACGCGTGATTGTGTGTTCACACAAAGAACCCTCATGCTTTGATGTTTTTAGGTAATTATTTGTAATTTCTAATACACCAATACTATTGATACACCTAAGAAAAGCGTTAAAGAAGAAAATCAGAAAGCTAAAAGATTGTTGTTTTTTGTGCGAGCACATAGAATCGCAAATTTGGCATTTTGACACAAAGTGCTTTAGATTCTTCGCATTCCATTGCTCCACCTCCAACTATTAGGTTGTTCGGATATAAACGAGCGTTTTAGTAGTCGACAAAATTTATCTTAAAAACAGAAGCAACACAGTTTAATCTAAAAATATATTCACCATTACTTCTTGCCATCTTTTGCGCAAAGAATTCATGCCGCTCTTGAAAAACTCAGCCGGCTGTGACTCGAAAAAATTTGGCGACCCAATTTTGGTCATCTTTACGGTTTTTGAATTTCTCAATGGCCAAAAAGTTTTGAATCGACCGGAATCAAAGGTAATCTGAGGGAGCCAAATCGGGAGCATACGGCGGATGTGGTAAAATCTCCCATCCTAGATTCTATAGTTTTTGCTGAGCCATTTTTGCAACGTGAGGTCTAGCGTTGTTATGGATGAACTTTATCTTTGATGTGTCTACTCCGTAACGAATGAGAGCTTCATTGACCCGATCAAGTTGCTGTTTGTAGAGGTCGGATGTGACTGTTTGGCCGGGTTGTAGAAGCTCAAAATAAACAAGGCCCTTGTTGTTCCACCATACTGAGAGCATGACCTTTTTTTCCATGAGTGTCCGGTTTCACGGTCGGATTTGGCCGTTCTCCTGGTCCTAGCCATTTCCGTTTTCGAATAGTATTCTCGAAATGGATCCACTTCTCATCTCCAGTAACGAGAGAATCAAAAAAAGCCATGATCTTTAGCGTGGCGGATGAGGATTCCGGAAATAGCGACCCGTGAAGCCTTATTTGCACTGCTTAACTTGTGAGGAAGCCATTTCCCGCATCTGATCGTCTTTCAAATGGCGTGGAGATGCTCATCAATGGTAGAATTTGAACATAGAAACTCTTGAACAAGTTCGCGCGTCGTTTGACATGGATCCGGTTCGATTGTAGCCCTCAAAATAACGTTGTCTACCGCTTGAGGTCGACGAGAGTGTTCATCATCCTCGAGACTTTCATCACCATTCGGAACCAGGCTCGGCATCGGCTTTCGGACAAAACATCATTCCCAAATGCTTTGACCAAATCTCGATGGGATTTCGCGACTGTTTTGCCCAGTTTGAAGTCGTAAAGTAGACAGACGCAAACTTGATGTTTCAAGTCGGTCATCTAAAGCAAGAAAAAAGCTCTTAAAAATAAGAAATTATACTTTTAAAAAGATTCCAAATATGCGCAAGATAACGTACTTTTAAATACAGAAAGACATGTTTTAAAAGCTTTTCTCATAACAATAAGTTTAGCAGCGATTGTTTATATCCGAACAACCTAATATAAAGGAACTATAAAGGAACTAAATACGGCCTTTCTTAAAGCCTTTTCCAGCGAAAAAAAGGAGCATTTGTCGCACCCTCAAAATTCGCGTTTTAAGCAGCCATTTCGTTCAATTAATTGATCTTTTTTTTTGTTTAAAATGATGAAATGTAAAAGGAAATGAGTTTAATAGAATAAATTGTAAGATCGATTTACTTGTAACTCTGAAGTGATATTCGCTCGTAGCCTTGCCTCAACCCGTGCTTCCATTTCACAATGATAGGCGTGCTTTTGACGTTGCGCTTTTCGCATTCGACGCTTCATCAAGCCTAAAAGATTCGTGTTTTTTTTTTTGTTTCTTTCTAAATTACCTTCAAACTTTTATGCTACTATTACTTTAAAAAAAATTGAACGGATAACTTACAGTAACAGCAATAGCCGACCGAGAACAGGAAACACAAAAAGATCAAGAGAAATAGAAGTGCCCGGTAAAACGGTTCTTTGTCACCTAAAAATTTCGATTTTTTTTCTCTTAGTACAGTAGACATTTATGTACATACAGTAAAATAGATATTTATGTAAATCTTTTAAATACTCACTTGCACATAGCTCATTTTCCTCAACCACTACCCCATCAGCACAAGTGCATTTCATTTTCTGATCGACTGGCGTCTCAAAGACACACCGCGCATTTTGTGGACACTGAAATGTTAAGTTTTAAAAAGAAATTGAAAGAAAATGAAATTGAATACCTTTAATTGACAAGCATATATCATAAATGTCCCATCTTTATTGTTTTTCCCAGATCGGAACTCCGTTTGGAGGACTGCATCAGCGTTGGACCAAGAGGAACCACCCCAACCGGCAGTGTCATCTCCCGGTGCGCCACCTGTAACGAGAATTATTATCTACACTACTGGACAATGAAATATCATAATTGAAAAAAGGTCGTCACTTTCGCGCGTCTGTAACTAGACTTCGGAAAACAAAACTTAACCAAAACCAAAACTACCAAAACCAAAACCATAACAAAACCAAAACCAAAACCAAAACTAACCAAAACTCGCCAATATCTCGCGACTGGGAGGAGCTAGCGAAAATCTGTTTGCAGATTTGAAATCAGCATCCAAAAATCTATCCCATAGGCTATTTTTTGTTCCGAAATTTCGAGGTCGTGTTTTGGTCCTTTTTTCGGCCGCGAGATTTTGTGGAGTGAGAAAAAGTGAAAGGCTAATTTGCATTTTACATTAAAATTTGCATTTTGCAATTTTAAATTTACATGTTAATTTATATGCAAATTGAGTTTTGGTTTGTTTTGGTTTTGGTGTTTTGGTTTTGGTTTTGGTTTTGGTTTTGGTTTTGGTCTGTTTTGGTTTTGGTTTTGTTTGCCGAAGTCTATCTGTAACTCCCTTGTCTTTACCGTATTTTTAAATATTAATATTACCATTGTGTAGCCCTTGAAAAGAGCTTTCAGAAAATGTATAACACTAATAGTTTAAACTCAAAGACAAGGGAGTTACCGACGCGCGAAAGTGGCGATCGTTTTTCAAATATGATAATTTCATTGTCCAGTATTGTAAATACTATTTCAATAGTTATTAAGATTATTATCATGATTTGATAAACTTTAAAAAAAAAAAACTTTTGCTTACCCAAAAACCCTCCTCCACCGCCGGCTCCTTTCCCGCACGAGGCTCCACCTCCGCCAAAACCGCCTTTCGCCTCGACACGTCTAAACTTTTCGATTTAAATCTTTATATGAAATTTAATTAATATATTATACAGTTATGAACAAAAAAAAACGTTTTTACATCGTTATTATACTATTAGAGAGTGCGCTAGTATTAGAGAGTGCACTAGTATTAAAGAGTGCACTACTATTAAAAAGTACACTACTATTAGAGAGAATACGGTATGCTAATTTGACTCACGAGTCGACACAAGTGCCCCCGTTTGCTGTCTTTTTCTCCCCATTCAACATCGAACAGTCCGAGCAGTTGGAGGCGATTTTCTAAAAAGTTAAAAATAATAGTAGAAAGTTTTTTTTAAAAATAATGATAGAAAGCCTTGCCACAATATGTCCAGGTTTGAAAGAGACTCCGAATCCAGAAACATTCTTGTACATGATGATTGAATTATCGATGAAATCTTTTGACTTCTTTATCTCTTCATCTAGATGAGACCACGATTCGTTGGAGTGAGTTCGACCACCGACTGATCTATGATTCGAAAAGATTGTTGAACTGTTACAGTTTTTGCTTTAACTGTAACTGTAACTGTTACAGTTTTGCTTTAACTGTAACTGTTCAAGAACTGTTACTGTTCAAGAACTGTTACTGTTCAAGAACTGTTACTGTTACAGTTTTGCTTTAACTGTAACTGTTCAAGAACTGTTACTGTTACAGTTTTGCTTTAAGGTAAAAGCAATACTTTATTGAAATTGATGCTTTGCAATTGTTCAAGTATTAGTATTGAGTTGTTCAAGATTTTCACTCACATATCTTCCGGTATCCCTTCTATGTGATCGATTTCTCCTTTTGAGAGGAGACCCCCACCACCGCCAGCAACGAGAATGAGAACATCGTTGAGGAAAACCATCGACGCACCGCCACCACCCGAACCCGAACCTCGAGCACAAAGGGGATCCGTTGGATTATGCTGAAAAATAAAAAAAAAGTACAAAACTAAAATTCTAACTGTGACTTTCCCTTTACCTGACACGAAGTTTCTCCCCGTTGTCCAAGTGACACAGTCAAAGTTTGATAAACGTTGAGATCGACAAGTGAATGTACACATCCACCGAAATTTTTCCTTGATCAGCGTTTCCTTTATCATTTTTCCTTTATCAAAGTGACTTCCACCAGCTGCTCCACAAATCTCGATACTTTAAACGAATTTGATTTTTATTTAACATATTTTTACCGATATTGAAGCGCTTCCGAGACTTTCCAATGCTGAATTCCGTTCACAAAATCTGGCACTTTTTCGAGTTTCTTTCCCGTTTTCTTGAGGAATCTAAATTTTGGATAGACTTTAAGTTGTACTACCGTAAATACTGTAATAGTACCCCACCCCCATAATGACGGGGCGGAGTGTCGCGTAGTCTAGCTTTGAATGCGTTTTTCTTGACACTGGTTTATGCTACAATGCGCGCTTCGGTATCAAAAAATAGCTGAAATTCAGGGCTATTTTTTGATTTTTGATTTTTGATACCCCCATAATGACGGTGCGGGGCATTGCGTAGTCTAGCTTTGAACGCGCTTTTCTCGACACTTGTTTATGCTACAATGGGCGCTTAGATATCAAAAATAGCTGAAATTCAGGGCTATTTTTTGATTTTTGATTTTTGATACCCCCATAATGACGGTGCGGGGCATTGCGTAGTCTAGCTTTGAATGCGTTTTTCTTGACACTGGTTTATGCTACAATGCGCGCTTCGGTATCAAAAAATAGCTGAAATTCAGGGCTATTTTTTGATACCAAAGACGCATTTTTTGAAAGTACGGGCGCTTTGGAAAAAATGAAATACTAAAAAAACTTTTGCGACTACGCGACTGTACGAGGGGGCGGGGGTACTATTACAGTATTTACGGTAAGTTGTATTCAAGCTTTTAAAAGAAACACAATACAGTGAATAGTAGATAGTATGATGTTAGATTTATTACGATTAATCACTTTCAAAATCTTCCCACCTTTCACAATCCTCTGTGGTTGGCGGATTAAAGCCAGTCGCCCCACAAGTGTCCATTTGATGCGAGACTTCGATCGGATTTTCTGAAATAAACTTTAAAGTTTTCATAGGTTTGATTTGATTTTGATTTCAAAAATTTCAACATCAATTTTCTTTTAAACCCATTGATTCTTAAGCTCTTTTCTCATTTCTCACGATGACCCAAAATCACGAGTGACATTGAAATAAAAGTTACAACAATTTCTGCGTCATCTTTTTGATCTTCTGTATTTGTTTTACTCATTCAAAATGGCTGAAATGATTTTTCGTGGTTATTCTTTGTAAACAAAAAGAGATGGAAGGGATATAAAAGAGATGGGAAAGGGAAAGCTGAGTTTTTTTTTTCGAAATTTTAATTGTGTTTTTTATTTTCGTAGACATTTTGTAAAAAAAAAAAGGTTTTGTGACTTGTGTCAAAAGAAATGATTTAAACTGAATCGAGCTGTAGTCTGTGAGTGTTTTCTAGAATTTTTATAAATACTATAATCTCCTAACTAGATTTGATTTCAAATTGATGGGCCGTGTTGTTCGACTTGCCAATGGAGGATGCGCTCGTTTACCGGGATGATTTCACTCAAATGGTGTTCAACTTGTGTCTGCTCCTCCCTACAGCCCCGATCTCAACCTTATTGAACATCTTTTTGCTTTGTGCTTAAGAATGTAAAGAATGTAAAAGCATTCTTTCTATTGCAATAGAAATCGTTTCTTTAATTTAATTTACTAGAAAGGGTGTGTTTCGAATTTTTGAGAGCACAAAGTACAGGCAGAGAGCAGTTAAGAATCGTTTAAACTAGAGTTTAACCCTACCGTAAATACTGTAACCCCAGCCCCATAATGACGGTGCGGAGCATTGCGTAGTCTAGCTTTGAACGCGCTTTTCTCGACACTGGCTTATGCTACAATGCGCGCTTAGGTATCAAAAAATAGCTGAAATTCAGGGCTATTTTTTTGATACCAAAGACGCATTTTTTGAAAGTACGGGCGCTTTGAAAAAAAATGAAATACTAAAAAACTTTTGCGACTACCCGACTGTACGTGGGGGCGGGGGTACTATTACAGTATTTACGGTAGGTATTGTAAGGTATTGTAAGCTACAATAGCTACAATAAACGATATCTAACAGTACTGTTATCAAAGTTATTCAACCTACCGATTTGTCGGCATAATGTAATGATATAGAACACTGAGATTTTACAGTCTCTTTTTTAAAGTTTATTCAGCTTATACTTGTTGTTTCATTTTCATTTAGTAAATAAGGTTTTCGATTCTTAAAAAACACGAATGAATCATTTTCGAAAAAAAAAGGGATTTCCATTGATTAGCCTGGTGGCTTAGTCAAGAAATTTGCATAATCGGTGCGGAGGAAATCAATTCTTGTTGAAAAAGCTAAAAGTTTGAACCCACGCAGACCCTGTCTTTTCATAAAGTTTACTCAACTCAGCCCCCTTTCGGACGGTCGGCTTATTTCGTGAACCAGGGCCGAACTCACATAACAATAATCCCAACCACTCCACTCAATCTCATTATCGTTTTCATCGTGCACATTGGCATTCTCTTTTGATTTTGATCCGCCGTTCACTTTATCTTTATCAAGTTATGGTCAAGTTTTGAGTAAGGCATAGGGATACGTGTCGATGTAGTTCATTGATAGAGTATTTGCCTGGTAAGCGAGAGATCAAAGGATCGAGAGATCGAGAGACCAAGATCAAAGGTTCGAATCCCGGCGTCGACTATATTTTGTATTCCTAGCCAGAAAAGGACCGGCGTATTCAACTTTTCTTTGGTTTTAGAAACTTTTAAAAGCTTCTTGCTAGCACATTTCCGTCCTAGACACCTTTCCTTTCATTTTATTTTCATCTTAATCAATACTATGGACATCTATAGAACCCGATGGACATTAGTAGATTTAAAAAAAGTACACAATAAACAGCCTGCAATCTTTGTACTTGAAATGAACTTATTTCTACAAATCTTTCGCCATTTTTTTTTCAATCTCAATTAGAACTTTTGCTATTTCCTATCAATTATCAAAACTTGTGTGTGTTTTTGTCACCATGGTCACTCAAAAAAACAAAATTCTTGTTCAAAAAGTTACAAGTTTACAAGAAGGAATGAAGTGCATTCAAAGTTTTCATCCGTTTATATTTTAAAATATCTATAGATAATAATAATGCTATAATAAAGATCATTTTTTGAAAAATTTAAATTTAAACTAACATTATCTCAAAGAATTTTGCTAAAATTTGCTAAAATTCGCTAAAATTTGCTAAATGTTTGCAAAAACATCGTTTTTCGATCGTTGTTTTCGATGTTATGTTAGGTGAAAGCACGGTGACGAGTTGTCGGGTTAAAGGGGAATTAAAAATACTTCATTTTGACACGGAACACACAAAAAAAGTATTTGGGTGAATCGATTGTTACTGAAGGATTAGCGATTCGAGGGAAAACAGATGAGGAAGAGGGAAGGGGAGCTGACTGGTGGTCTTGGTCTTCGATTGGGTTATTCGGATTGTGTTAGGCGAATTCAAATGATGAAATCTTCTACAAGGTATATGCTAGAATTGAAAACAATTCTGATTTATTGATTACTTTAGCCCTGATGATTGGTAGGGCTCTAGCCCGATGTTGTTGAGTTGTTTCCCGGGTGAAGCAATTACCGTAAATACTGTAATAGTACCCCACCCCCCACGTACAGTCGCGTAGTCGTTTTGCTTCAATAACCTTCAAAAGTCAGGCTTTAATTCTACGTGTTTTTAAGTTCGCTTCTAAAACTTAAACTTTATGGAAATATTGCGCAAATGATGCAAGTTTTTAAATGCAAAGAACGCAGATTCTTTTTGTCTTTTTTTTGTCGTTATCGCTTAAGCTAGCAACAAAAACATACCGTAAATACTGTAATAGTACCCCACCCCCATAATGACGGTGCGGAGTGTTGCGTAGTCTAGCTTTGAACGAGTTTTTCTCGACATTGGTTTATGCTACAATGCGCGCTTAGGCATCAAAAAATAGCCCTGAATTTCAGCTATTTTTTGATACCAAAGACGCGTTTTTTGAAAGTACGGGTGCTTTGCAAAAAATGAAATACTAAAAAACTTTTGCGACTACGCGACTGTACGAGGGGGGGGAGTGGGGTACTATTACAGTATTTACGGTAGCTATTCACTGAACTACTAATTCTTAAATATATCTTTGTTCAAGTGGTGCTTATCCGTCATTGATCAATCAAGTCGAGGGTACGATGAATATCACGATTTCCTACCCTAAATACTGTAATAGTACCCCCCCCCCCTCGTACAGTCGCGTAGTCGCAAAAGTTTTTTAGTATTTCATTTTTTTCAAAGCGCCCGTACTTTCAAAAAATGCACCTTTGGTATCAAAAAAAAATAGCTGGAATTCAGAGCTATTTTTTGATACCTAAGCGCGCATTGTAGCATAAATCAGTGTCGAGAAAAACGTGTCCAAAGCTAGACTACGCAACACTCCGCCCCGTCATTATGGGGGTGGGGTACTATTACAGTATTTACGGTAAGCAGTTAAGCAGTGAAGCAGGCATTCTTCCTTTGGTTAAACCAAAAATTCCCACAAATAGATACGAATAAAAACTCTAGTTAAGAGTAAAAAAAGCCTTTCAATATTCGGCTGGAGTTGTTGAAATTAAGTTCAGAACCAAAGCGCGAGAAAGAAAGATTGCGCCAGAAAGAATTTGTTTCCATTTCAACTATTTGAAAGAAATATTTCTATTTAAAAGAACGATTTCTTGAATATTTCTATTTGAAAGAACGATTTCTCACTTAACTTTTCATCTTATTTTTGATCTTTATCAACTTCTCGCCTTTCAATTTCCAAATTTCAATAAAATTCTTCAAAGCTTTTATGAGTAATTTTGCTTTCATTCAACAAATCTAATAATACTTTATCAAAAAAAATTATATAAATCAATTTTCAATTTTCTTATAATACTAAAACTTAATTTTGTTTAGGTATAATGAACTTAAATCTATTTTTGGGATCATTTATTTTATTATTAATTGTGCCGCACACTGAGGGAACTACGTGGAATCAACTTGTCGACAGGATTACTGTAAGTTTTAGACAATCAGATAATCAGACAAGCAGAAAATGAATTTAAATTTGAATTTAAATCAATTTACATAAACTATTTATGAATATATCTCTAAATCATTGATTTCAAGCGCTATAAAGCCGAGTTGCGACACTGGTGGAGGGTAACTCTTGCTTTACATCAGCTAAACTAATGACCTTTTTTTGTTAGCTAAGTTCTAATCGGTAAATTGAAATGTCTAATATAAAATGTATTTGAAATTACCGTATTTCTTCGAATAGAAGACCGAGTAAAGAGTATGATCGCGTACTCCTGCGTAGCAGCCCTTTTTAAAATTTCTTTTCTGCATAAAAGCTTTCAATGAAGTGCTATAGGGCTGGTAAATGGCTCAAAAATCTGTTAGCTCATGTGGTATTTTTGAGTCATTTTCCAGCCCCATAGCACTTCATTGAAAGCTTTTATGCAGAAAGGGCTGCTACAGCTTTAAAAAGGGCTGCTACGCAGGAGTACGCGATCATACTCTTTACCCGGTCTTCTATTCGAAGAAATACGGTAATAACTTTTTTTAAGGAGGCCAAGAATGCATTGACTAATGAAGGAGCAACGGAAACCATTCAACCACCACCAAATCCACCCCGATTTTTAGAGGTAAATCATTGAAATAAAAGGGAAAATTTGAAAATTGAAGATTTTAATCTTAAATTGCTAATTTATAGCAATGTTTTTAGTCAATTCAAAAAGGAAAATTTTGCTTTAATCGAAGTTTTTAATCCTAAATTGCTAATTTAGCAACGTTTTTTTAGTCAATTCAACACGTCGATGTGACCAAATTGAAAGCCGGTTTGAAGAAATTAAACAAGCGAGCACAGGAGAGACAAAAAAAGAACGGGAAGAAAGATCAAGTCGATTCGAAAGTTATGCAAAGAATACAACAGGTAGATTCATTGAATAGATTGAAATTTGGTTAAAGTTAGACATGGGCTTTTTGTAGAAAATGAGTCAGTTCCACGTTTTAGCAAACAGCTTTTATTTTCTAAACAGTTAAAGTGAGACAATGCTATTTCTGCTATTAATATTATATGCTATTAAAAAGAAGAGATGTTTGCTAAAACGTGGAA